ATAAAGTGCAGGTCTTAATTAATCAATGTCTATGATGAATTGTTCGTATTTTCTGGCCTAACATCATCAAAAATAAAGATCTACTACACCAGAACAAACAAAAAATGGTAGAACATCAAATAAAGTCAAGAAAGTGAGGTTGGATTGGTCACACACTCAAACCAGTATTGTAAAGAATGTCCTAGAGTGGAATCCTTAAGGACGAAGAAAAAGAGGTCGCCCAGTACAAACTTGGAGAAGATCCATCATGGATAAGATAAGAGGTCAAGGAAAGTCTTGGAATGAGGTGAAGGCCTTAGCGCAAAACCAAATAAGAAGTTGGCAAAGATAAAACACCCAGTGTCTTTGTTCTTAGATCGCCTAAGTGTCATCTTTTTGCAGTTAATGTATGTTACTTTCCCAAAGAAACACTTTGTATAAAGATATTTTTAGTACAAATGTTACAGTACGAGAAAATAGCAATTTTGCAGTATCATTAACAATTTTATTCAGTAAGCGTAGCTAGTGGCGAACGCTCATGTTAAGAGTTAGGTGAAAAATATTTAAGGAAAACTATATTACAGAGGGGACTTGATAGTCTAGCATTAATTTCAATAGAAAATGATATATGTATTAATTATAGATATTAATAATCTTATTGGTATTCCTGGAAAAATGAAAACAAGAAGAATAACATTTTTTTTTTTTAATTTACATTGTGTTTTACTAAATTTTGTATGATTGCCAAGTGATGAAATAAATAAATACAATTAAATAAAAACAAACGAAGGTTAGATTAGATTAACTTAAAAAACGAAATATAATGCGAACATTTCGCAAAAAGTACTTTTAGAAACCGCATCAGTGTGGATATTTAAGTTTTTGCTGTCAAAAGTCTAAATAAAATTTCATCCAACAAAAAATCTGTTAACCGCATATCAATAAATAACCTATGTATGTAACTACTTAGCTTAAATAATTGTGTATTGTCGCTGAAACTAATTTTAGTAGTTTTGTTGCCAAAACAATCAAGTTTTATAACAATCATAATTTGTTTTTCTTCCCACTTTTGCATAAACCAATTAAGATATAAAAATAAATTGCAAACGCAGGCATAAAAATATTTACGTTTTTCAGATACACATTCGAAGTAGCATATACGAATATTTAAAAATATTCCAATGCCGATCTATTTTTCGTGCACTGAAAAATGCACTAAAACAATGAGTCATTCCAGGTAATTCAGTGTTGACAAAAAGCGGCCAGACCTTTCCAACTTGGACATATTTGTGCTTGGGTGTATCTAAAAATAACATTAGAGTAGCTTGAAAGTTGTGATGGCCAAATGTAATTTTTAAAGTTTGGTTCCACGGATAGAATCACTAGATAACTTCTTAGATCCCGAAATGCAGTAGTGATTGTTGAGTATGCTTCAACATTCGGAATTCTAAAGTTAAATCATATATTCGGCTACAGTTATATTGTAACGCATTATCATCATTCGTATTATAGAAAATAAACTAAAATGTTAGCCAGAATTAGGGGAACCCGGGGCGGAACGTGTACCTAAGTTTGATAGTAATTTGTGCGATATTTAATAAAACTACACCATCATTTGACAAATCTTATGTTTATTTATTTATTTCTTTACAAGGAAAATATAGATAGTTATAAAAAGCAAACGTTTCTGAGAGAAATTTGCATTACAAAAATTAAGGGAAATTTCCCATTCTGCCCCACCCCCCGGGGCACAATGGGGTGCCCCATACTATAGCTAATATCATTGGCAAAGTTCACAGACGAGAACGCTTTCATCATCGTCACTATCTAAACCAGCATATGCTCGTTTTTGCATTTCTTACAAATGTCTCAAGAACACCAGCCTTCATTGGACTTGTAGAGTAGTAATCATGGCAATACAAGCAGGCCGTATCTTTTTCTTCTGCGCAATCTTCGGATTCAGTTTCAGATATTATTTTGTTTCTTTGCCTTAGTTTTAACCTGTTTGTTCTTATTTTCTTTCCTTTTTCGTTGAGTTTCAATTTCTCTGGATTTGTTTTCATCATTTTTAAACATTAATCTGTTTAATTTTTTTCTTTTCAGCTGCGCCCTTATAGCTTGCATCTTTTTTAAAGATTCTTCCAGCTCAACCTTATAAAGTGAGGCGGCAGTCTCTCTACGCTTTTTTACAGCTCTTTTTGTTCCGGCTTTAACTTTTGGCAACGAAATTATGTCTCTTGGCGACGTGACTGAAAAATGTGTGTCAGCATTAGTACGAACAGGGGAATAGAGCATCCAAGAACATCCGGGTTTAGGGACATTCACTGGTGGAGGATTTTCGTCAATTGTCGGTACGGATGGATTATTTGTGACAGGATTATCAACTACGGGTGTGGAATGAACATAGGGTGAGGAGAAATGCTTCTGTACTGGTGTAAATGGGGTTGAGTCAGTTGTCTTTGGCATAGCCGGCGATGTTTCCTAGATTGTACTGCCAACAGGATTTTCCAAGGGAATGTTTGTTCTTGCTGATAATAGAAAGTCATCATCAGTGAATTTATTCATATTGGATGGCCAGATACCGTATTTTTCAAAGCCATTAATGGCAGTTCTCATATGTGCTGTACTTAAGAAAGCCTGGCCAAAAAGTGTTGATATCGTGACCAAATTGGTAAAGTAGCGAATGTGCATATTCGCTACTTTTCAGGGGAGCTAAAAAACACTTTGGGCTTCGACTAAAAACCTGTTTGTAATGTTATTTGTCTTTACCCAACTGATCTGAAAACCTTAATGTCTAAAAATGTTAATGCCTAAAAAATGTTAAGTAATAATGAAAATAAGCTAAGTAATCATAGTTACTGAAAAAGTCACATTCGTTAGTTTACCTAAGTGACTATTGTTCTGACTAAGTGATTGTTGTTAGAATGTTAGGCTATAAAAAATAGCGAATCTGCATTTGTGCTAAAGGAGAATGTACTTATGTATCACCTACTGATTGGTTTTCTTATGAGGTGGGTGAACAAAATAGAGAACTTTAAGATTGAACAACATTTAATGAAGCACAAACTATTTTATAATTTTGCTTTAAAATTTAGATCATTGGTTTAGTTATGATTCGCTCTCAGATTCTTCAGAGGCATCTGGCTCTGGAAGGGCATCTCATACACTGTCATCAGAGGGAAGATGTGTGTAGAAATCATGATAAACACGTGGTATTTGAAGATTCTTACAAAGCTTTTGCAGGTCTTTTAGTTTTTTGGTAGCAATTGGGAACCTTGATTTGTAAGGTTTTATTGGAGAATTATTAGAAGAAGGTCTTTCCCGTTGTTTTTTCATCCGTTTTGCAATGTACTTCACAAAAGGTGCGTCATCTGAGTAATCCGTCTTCACGAATACAGCATCTGGATGAGTTGACAGGTACTTAAACCAAATGGCTTTTTTATTTAAGCAGATTTAAAAAATTCTATACCGCTATTCTATTGAATCCCATAGCCCGTGTTCCAGAAGATGCTTCTGGTTTTCTTAGGCTTAAATCAGGGTGACGTTTGAAAAAACCTTTACACCAGTCTTCTCCTGCCATTTCCGATATTCTGTTGAAGTTATGCTTGCAGTTATTCTTTTCTGCTAGCTGGTATGCTAGTCGGCGAAACTCTTTCATAGTCATGCCGAACAGTTGTTTTTGCATATATTTCAGATAAACGACAAGTTCAAAGTCAAGCTCTTTCATTAAATGGCATAGCGTCATATATTAAAGAACTCATTATCATTACTAACATGATTGGAAAGTTTGATCTATGACAACGAAATGAAAGAACTCCTGGTGCAGTTCGGCCATCGAGAGTTCGGCCCAGGTGAAAAATTAGCTACCAAAACATGGACTGTATACTCGGAAGTCTTCAACTTATTAAGAAGATAATATTAAAAGAAATCAAATTCAACTCGACAAGGAAAATGAAATTCCTGTAGTTGGCTGTATATCATGAATCACAAAAGTTTTATTTTAAAATTCTTTAAGAAAGCTATATAATTTTCAGACGAAAAACGTATTACCAGGTGTACATGAGTCAAGCCACTAATAAAATATTGCATATTATGTCTGTAGTTGCCGTAAATAAATTAAACCGGGTTAATTTGTCTATGCACACCAGATAAAATGTCATCGAACAGCACTGGTTCCGTTTAAAACATGGCTGATTGCGTCTGCGTAAACGAGATGCGCGTTCTTATTTTTTTAAGCAGAGTGGGCATTCTGATTGTTTATTATTCTGTGGCATGGCTATGGTCGCTGCTGACCCTGAGACAATACAGTTGCCAGTTCTAGAACCCATTCAGAGATATTCCAACACAGGGAAAAGGGCGTAATATTCCTTAGTGACGTTTTTAATGTTATTTAGTAAGTTTTTGTAGTTAAGTGAGTTAAAATAAAGTAAGTTAAACTAAGTTTGCTTCACTTAATCCCTGAGTCCACATCAAAAACGTAACAATAGTATATTCAATGTGCCTATAGACAGGTGTATAAAAAATCTCAGAGATCGATTCATATATCATGTAAACCAAATCGGTCGATTCTTTTAGAAGATCCGACTCAAATCCATATCAGATCCAACTCGCCCATCTCTATTTGGAAGAGAATTTGTCAGCAAAATATTATAGGACTGACTAGGTATATTTTTATTTTGTTTTAACAATGATGTTTTACATTTAAACGTATTTTTAGACAGAATTGGTGTGTTTTATTAAAATCCTTGTTTTTGCATGTCTTATCTGAAATTATGGAAAACAAAAACGTTAAAAATAGAATGGGAAAGTGACTGAAACTTTATTACAAAGTTTAATTATTGTTTTACACATATATTTAATGTTTTGATAATTATAAAGTACAATTAATGTGTTGTTACATATCTCTACATACATGGTGATTCATAAAAATATTTAGAATATTTGTATTAAAAAACTTTTTTTGGTCGACCTTTTTTAAGATACCTTAAAATATATTTTAAGTCAATTTCTTCTATTTTCAGCAAGCGAAAGCCGAACAAGAGGAGGAATTCATCTCAAACACCCTCTTGAAGAAGATCCAAGTGCTCAAAAAGGAGAAAGAAACACTCGCTCATCATTACGAAAGAGAAGAAGAATGTTTAACCAACGACCTATCCAGAAAGCTGACGCAGCTGCGTCAGGAAAAATGCGCCTAGAACAGACCCTCGAACAAGAACAAGAGTGCCTTGTGAATCGTCTCATGAGAAAGATCGAGAAGTTGGAGGCCGAAACGTTGGCTAAGCAAAGTAACTTAGAGCAGTTGCGTCGAGAAAAGGTAAGTGGGTAGTCGAAATATCTGTTGCTTAAACAATTTAGTGACAATTTTTTTACGAAGAAACTATATTTAATTTATATTTCTTGGCAGGTTGAACTCGAAAATACTTTAGAGCAAGAACAAGAAGCTCTCGTCAATAAACTGTGGAAGCGAATGGATAAACTCGAAGCGGAAAAACGCATGCTGCAGATAAAGCTCGATCAGCCGGTGTCTGATCCAGCCAGTCCTAGAGAGATCAGTAATGGCGATACTGCCAGTAATCTTAGCTCGCACATTCAAACGTTACGTTCAGAAGTGGCCAGATTACGTTCCACTTTGGCCATGAGCCAACAGGAGCACACCCAGAAGATGCAGCGTTTTGCCCAGGAGGAGAGAAACATTAAGGAAGAAAATTTAAGGTTAGTATATTCCTTTTATTTATCTCTTATTTAATATGCCCAAAAGAAAGGAAGAGGAAACGGGAAAATATTCAACTTATTTCCATGATTTAACACCTTCTGATTATTATGTTTTCCCAAAACCGAAGAGATGTTCGAAGCCTATATCCTTATCCAACGGCTCCAGATGACTTTCTGGGACAAGTTGCTGTCCAGAGTTTTGTGGATGGATTAAGAGGTACCGAATTGTAGAAGGTCCCGAGAACGGCTAGAAATAAGACGTTAGATGTGTTGGCCTATGGACTAGAACCAAGCAGCCAAAAATGCTTCTAGTGTTTTGTCGGATCCGCCAAAATCAAACCCCCGATTACTCTGAAATTCGGTGTTACTCTGAAAATCAAATCGACGAGTCATAGGCGTGCGGTTATTATTTAAAAAATAATAACGATTTTATAACGAATTGATTATCATAAAAATTATTTTCTTATTTTATAGATGCCTTGGATGAAGAAAACTCATCCTTGTTAAATATATTTTTTTGGGAAAACCCCTTTATCCGTTTAGATATTTAATGACATGGAATTAGAAAAAGGGTTGTCTAGTAAGCACAGGTAAAACTGAATTACTTAACCAATCCTTGGTACGTCACAGTACTGTATACACTCTGGGCCAAAATTAACCGGGCACCTTAAAAATAAGTAATTTTTGATTTCTTATATCTCCTAAACCTCTTGTCCGCTTTAAGTGATTTGTTTAATATGTTATAGCCTTATTCCTTGACAATATCTTTATAATAATATTGTTACTAAACAGGTAAATTTTCATTGTATACCGGGTGTACGAATCAAACTGTGTGTTTTTTTTTAAGTTTGCATCACCCTGTGGAATATTCTAGCATTTTTAGAATACTGAAATTAAATCGTAACTATAGCCTCATGCTTTCTCAACATTTTGTTTTTTGATTGAATCGCTTATGTTGGATAATACAAAAGTTTGGTGCTTTAACAACTAGACATGTTTTTTATCAACTTTTATCTCCGCGGAAGAGAAAAAATAATCTTTTTGAAAAAAAGTCATTTGTTACAGTAAAAATCCAATGAATAAAATCTTCGAAGAAAATTCAAATTAACAATATTTTGGAAATCAAAGTCTAATTGAAAAAAAATTGGGTATCAATAATGGGTGTTGACGCCTCTAGCCTTTAGGACTACTTGGAGCCGGTTTGGCAATCCTTTCATGATATCCTGGATATCAGATTGGGGGATATTTTGCCACTCGTCTATCGCAGCTGTCTTCAGCTCTTCAAAGGATGCAGGGGCTGGTACTCTTGCTCTTACCCGTCTTTTGAGGTTCTGAGGTTGTCCCAGATATGCTCAATTGGGTTAAGATCGGCACTGTGTGCTGGCCATGGTAGAACTTGAATCCCGACCTCATTAAGATACTCACGGGTAGATCTTACTGTATGGCAACGTGCATTGTCATGCATTAGTCTGAAGTTATCACCAATGAATTGTGCAAAAGGCATGATATGGTCTTGGAGAACTTCTTGCACGTATACTTGGGCATCCAAACTGCCTCTACCGAACACAAGATCAGTACGCGCTTCCTAAGAAATACCTCTTCAAATCATTATTGACCCTTCTCGGTAAGCAACCAAGCTTCATTTTGACGCCTATAGACACGTTGGCGTTCATCTGGACCTTTTAGGGCTATTCTGCTCTCATCTGACATCTGCCCAAGTATACATTTGTATTTTTAATTGTGGCCTTATTCCCAGTTAAATAGTAATTTATTTAAATCTTTGTCCCTTATGTCAAATTGTAAACTTGTCACTCTGGGAACAACAAGGATTAGATGAAAACAATTATTATCTACTACTATAATAGTTACTTTATGTCCGTTACTATCCATTACCCTAAGTATCTAATAACAAACCGAAAATTATATATCGTTATTTCATTATTCTAAATATTTCGGTATTTTATTTACACGGTAGGCAACATTATCTATTATTAAATTGTCTCGCTTCTTTTGAATACATATTAGCCGCGCACTTTTCAGCAAATTTTATTTAATTGAATGATGTCATCGCAAACTCAGCAAAATTTTGACTATTTTATATAATGAATAATGAATGGTTTTGTTATTTGATAAAGCAATGTTTTGTCGGCATTTTGTGACACCAACATTCGAGTAATCGCAAAACATATTATGTTATCTTTTCGGTACAAGGAATTTAAAAATGTCTTTAATCAATTGCTGAGCTGATAACAAAGAGAATTCAGTTTTAAATAATATACTTTCGTATTTTACCATTAAAGATAAAGCCTCTAGTTTGGTGTAATTTTATTTATTTAAATAAAATTCTAATATTAGTGTAATAATAAATTTCTCGTCTTTTATTAAGTCAAAATAAAGATTTGTTCTATTTAATATTTTGCATCTGGTGACCACAATGAAAAGACCCTTATCAAGATTTGCAATAATCGTCTAACCCACATATTTATAATGAAAACATGGATTAGACTATTTTTACAAATTTCTGTTTATGTTATTTGGCGAATGTCGTTAATTTTTATTACATATTTTTTTGCGTCTTATAGAGTCTTTAAAAATATACCGGAACTACTATAGTCGCTAAAACGACACTCAGTCCCAACTACAAGACGCAAGAGTCTCGTAGGCTTAGTCTTGTTCTTGCTTAAATCTTGCAAGGTAAGTCTTGGTCTTGCTAAAATTAGGCAGTTTTGGTCTTGGTCTTGCAAAAACGCAAGAACAAGACCAAGACCGATTTAGGGAAACACTACTTACAAATATATTTTTTATGCGTATATAAAAACCCTGTATTTTCACTTCCTTTTCATTTACAAGAATATAAAGTTATTTTGTATTATACAGGGTATTTAAAAAGTTATAACCACAATGAAAATGGTAACAAGTTCAACGCCCCGTATAATTGAAATGTGGTATAAAAGCAACGACCTGTTTTAGCCGTAGTTTTTAATTGATTGTCAACATTTATAAATGTTTTTTTTTTTCATCTCAATTTTTCTTTCTTTTTTTTTTAATTATTTAGATTACAAAGAAAGCTACAGCTTGAAGTGGAAAGAAGAGAGGCATTATGCAGGCACTTGTCCGAAAGCGAGAGTTCTCTAGAGATGGAAGAGGAGAGACATTATAATGAACAGGTATTAGGCGTGAGACAGCACACTGTCTCTCCAGTACCAGCCCCGTATAATCCATCGCCTAGTCAAAGTCGCCCATTGAGTCCAGGTACGTTATTATTTTATTTTTAAATTAGGTATACGTATATTAAAATTTATTTAAATGTATTGAGTTGATGAAGGACGATGAAGCCCAGCCTTTCTGTAATTAAAGGACTTTCAAACTTGTAAAATACCAGCCCTTTCCTATATCAGTTGGCCAAACGTTATATTGATAAGAAAATTAAATTTTAGAGAACAAAAATAAAAACGCAGCCTAAATTTTAGAAGTTTTAATGCATCGAACATTTTTGAATTTCACAATTATAGAAAATATTTTATAACGTAAGGAAAATATATATATATATATATATATATATATATATATATAATCTATCGTTTTCTCTCATACGCAGTTGCCTCTTCTAAGTCTCTTGCCGTCATTGCTTCATCAATATCGTTGCGCCAACTTCTCCGTGGTCGTCCTCTCTTTCTTCTTTCAGGAGGGATCCATTCCAGTACTCTTCTAGACCATCTGTACTCTGGCATTCTTTTAACATGTCCGTTAAACTTTTAACATTAAACAGAATAACAAATTTTAAAAAACACATAGAATATGTAATATTAACAAAAAATTGTGAAAGTTTACCACTGAGTTACCACTTTATTTTTAATGACATCCACAATTCTTCGAGGCATAGTTTTTACCAAGTTCTGACAAGACTAATGTAAACGAATCCCATATTTCTTGCAATTTTTCTTTCAATTCCTTGACGGACCTGGTAGGATGTTTTCTCAAATCGTTTTTCATTTCGCGCCACAAAGTCTCTCTCGAGGACAAATCGGGACTGTTAGAAACACATTCCAGAAGTGGCATGTCATAGTCTTCAATCCATTTTAAACTCTTTTTTGAGGTATGGCAACCTGTGTCGAACTGTTAGAAGACAAAATCTTTCGCTGATGTTAAACGGTGTTCCATAATCGGTAAAAGAGATTCTTCTAAAATATTCAAATATTTGTCCGTATTTACAATTCCATCGATAAAATATAACTTCAACTTACTTTGTAAGTACCAAATCCTAATTTGTGGGCCTCTCATGTTGATCTAGAAACGTGTCTTCTAATAACGTCACTTCATAAAACGCTTGACTCCATATAATTTGCTTATCGATTTTTCTCTACAATGCGTCTTAATGCCCTTCGATCTGCTTCGGTTATTTTACTTTTTCGTACATTTCTAGGTTTTGTGACGACCGAACCTGTAGTTTTGTATCTTCTGACTATATTTCTTACACCATTACATGACAATTGCAACATATTCGCGATTTCCGAATTGGATTTTACAGAATTAAAAAATCTAATAATGATTGAACCAATTTTCTCATCAATAACTTTACCTCGACCCATTATATAATCCACAAACGCCAAAAAGCTTTACAATACTAGAAAATACATTTAACATTACGTGGACAGTTCGAGCATTCACGTTAACTTCCCTAGCAATTTGTACACTATTACAGGGTTCACTAGCTTCCAAAAAAGCACTAATATCAATATCCCTGTTTTGACGCTTCTCAACGACAGGCGTAATACGTGGTTCATTACCTTCATGACACATTCTACAACTGTTTACACATCCGGAAGTTTGAAAATGTTTAATGGTATTTTTAACTGTTGTAACACTTGGTGGGGGTCTATTTTCAGAACTTCAGAACTTCGTTTGAAATTTTTAATGTAAATGTGACAATTACGACAATTCGTACCCACTGTAAATGAATATAGAGGTGGAAACGTGTAACACATCTCACAGCGATTGCCATTGTGTTGTATGGTCAATAAAACGATGTCGTGATCTGTATAAATAAATATATATATAATGTATCGGTTTTTATATCGACCTTCCAACTCTTTATAAGCCTTTTGCTTGATAAAAAGCATATTATAATATTTTTTGCTACGGCGTTTTAAGTAAAATAAAATAAATTAATATAAAATATATTCGAATTAGATAAGAATGAAACTAAATAAAATAAAGTAAAATAAAATTAAAAACCGTCGTTCCGTGCGTAGACGATAAGAAAGGTATGCCTCCATTCCTCGGTCACTATTTGAAGAGGGATTTCTAATTTTGTCTACGCACAGTACTTCCCCGTTTATTTAACGAGGAAAAACAAAGCCACTCCAACTTATTGAAGATGTACTAGCAGAAACGAACTCATTAAATTTATTGAGTTGTTTTCATAGTGTGGAATAAAAATAGGAGTTTTTTTGTTTTTAAAATTAGCACATGTTTATTTTCTAGGTCTAAATACATTACAATCTCCGAGAGACTCGCTAGTGGTAGGTCCGCCTCGTTGCCATTCTTGCGGACAGTTGTTGAATCATCCCGTGAATCCGGCCTGCATTTCTGCTGCTTTACATCCAGTTTCCTCGGGTAGTCCTACGGCACCGCATCGCAGACCCAGCGAAAGGTTTATTAAACCGGCAATACCAGCTGCACCGCCTCAGCCCGCTAGTCCAATGGACACTTCCGTCAATAAAGACTAGTAAGGTGAGTGTATTATTTTCTTTTATAGTAATTTCTTTGAACTTTACACATATTATTTAGCGTTGAGGTTTCTTAAGAAATGAAATAGTTTCACATCAAATGAAAAAGAGCACAGAATTAACAAAAACAATAAAAATTCGAAAGTTAAAATATTTCGGTCATATAATGAGACATTCAGAGAGGTATAACATTCTACACCTCATAATACAGGGTAAGATCGCTGGAAGGAGAGGCTCAGACGAAGAAGAACATCTTGGCTCCGAAATCTCCGAGAATGGTATCAAGAGACCACCGCTAATTTATTTAGAGCCGCTATAAACAAAGTTATTATTGCCAATATGATTGCCAACGTTCCATAAACGGACAGGGTACTGAAAGAAGAAGAGGTTTCTTCACATTTAAAAATATAAAATAAGGTTCGAAGGCTCGAAGTGCATAGAAGGGAGGGGTAGCCCCTCGGCGCGCCACGCAAAAGTGAATCGACGAGTGAAATCACAAAAATTGCATTTTCTCGGCTTCTTTTCATCCGATAAGTTTTTGGTCAGCCACCACATGTAAGTTTGTACTCACCACTGTGTATGTGGTGACTTTCCAAAAACTTAACATCGGTCAAACTGGTAGAACCTTTAAAAAACGTATAGCAGAACACAAAAGGGATTTGAATAATATAAAAATAGATGCTACGTACGCATTTCACTGTCTAGATCATAATAATTCTTTTAAAGACCAATTTCAAATACTTATACAAAAAGATCTCCCCTCCTCAACTGATTCAGTTGAAGACTATAAAGTGTACACGGCTAGTAAAAATACATCACTTGAGAAAGGCGCTCTACCTAAACAGACGTGAATATAAATTGTAATACATTTTGTAGAAAACAAAAGTTTTCGTTGTTTTATTCTTAGATTTAATGATTAGACTTAGACTTTTTGAATTTTCAATCTTGTGAATAAATGTAATTTTTTGTTGCAGATAAAAGTGATATTTGGATGTAATCGTTCCTGGTGTTTAAACAATTATGCTATAACGTACGTGCAGAGCTCGAGTATTATTCGAAATTTCTCCACACGTCCAGAAATAAATATCCACCAGATCAGGAGCAGCTGATTATTATTCAACTTTCTTAGTTTAACATTATTTTTGCTTTGTCACACGGTTTTTATATAATATATATTCATGTACTTACGCCATTTACATATTTCGGGGCTCTCCTATTTCTGGCTCTAGCTAAACCTTGTTCATTATAAATAGGCGAAAACGTTACAAACATAGATAGTGTTGCATAGTTTCGGGAATTGTGTCATGTGGAAGTGTATAGGGACAAATTTGGGGCTTTAGTTGCAAAACGACAATTCTCCACTATCACAAATTTTACAACAAACGCGAAAAACTATATCTATCTATATCTATATCTTTTAAATACTGTACCAAAAATAGTCAACATTCCTATTGGTTGTCACTGTATGTACGAGATATCATAGTACTTTTAACGCATTTTCAAGACATATGAGTGGATCTTTGAGACATCAATTTTTTTCATCAGCAGACCATTTCTCTTCGATTATGAGGCGATGAATCTCATTGCTCTCGCCTCTTGTAATATCGTAAGTCGCCTAAGAATCTCTATGTTGATTTTATGTTCTGCTCAAGATACTCAAATCATTTAAATTTTTTTAACTTGCCGCAATGTATTTAGCTACTATCCACGACATTTCGATGCTTTGATGAACTCTAAATTGTAAGAGAAAGATCAGACATCGTGATTGCACGTCTGTTTTTGTTACTAAAGTCTGATGTCTTCTTCTTTGGGTCCCGTACGCTATACAGCGTGTAGGCTTTCATCCTGCTTGTCGAATGCACAGAGATTCCGCCTTTCTTATTATCCTAGTTATATCAGGTATGCCGCACCAGTTTCTTATTTATCTCAACCATGAATGTTGCTTTCGTTCAGAGCCTCTTCGATCTTCAACTTTACCGATCAAGATAGCATTTAGGAGATCATATTAGTTATTTCGTAGAATATGATCCAGTCATATTCGCTACTTAGCGAGATCTAACAATTCTCTTTGGATATTAGCTCTTCTTAGGACCATTTGTTACATGGTCAACTCAATTCCCCAATTCTAAGTAGCCTTCTGAGACATCACATTTCGAAAACTTACACACAATTCAGAGATCTCGCTTCAAGTGACTAGGTCTCACTTCCTTTCATCAGGATGGGCCATATACAGCATTTCAAGACCCGTATACTACAGGTTTAAGGAACTTCAGGACGAAGGAGGTATTTGCCAAAAGTTAACGGAGGTGTTTCCAGCCATTGCTACCCTTATCTTCACTTCCAGGTCACAGTCACGCTTATTGTTTAGTATAGCTCCAAGGTATTTAAATTTTTCAACCCTTTCAATAGCTCTATTATTTATATTCAACTGAGCTTCCATATGGGGTTGTCTGCTGATTATCATATATTTGGTTTTTGCTATGTTGATGTTACGCCCGAACTACTCTCAATCATCTCCTACTTAATTTATGATATTGACTAAATCTTGCATTGCATATAAAGTCTGATGTATGTACTTTAATTTGAATGGTAGCTTTTTGGCGCTAATTGAGTTTTTGATGGTATTGAGATTTTGTGCGTCGATCCCGATTGATCTAAGGATTTCAATGAGCTTATGATGTCAGTCGCTGTTAAACGCTTTTCTGCGGTTTATGAAATAAACGAATACATTTATAGCTGTGTCCTTTCATCTCAGCACAAAAAGAACAGCATGTTTTTATTCGTTACTGGAGCCAAACTGTGAAGAACTCATCAGTTGTTCACAATGTGATGTTTTGTGTTTCTTTGGAGAAGTAACAAAGCTGAATTTCCCTTAACCAGAAGGTATTGTATCATAGCGTTAAATTAGACTGAAAATTGCCATAATGAGTTGTGATCTGCGCCATCTGGCGGGTCCAGGAAATCTTCAATTTTATCTCATGTATCTTAGAACGTGAATCGTGAATCTTAGAACATAAAACCGTAGGAATAAGCTTAAAATATGTAATTATGTGTCGGAAAAGTCTATGACTAATAATTAAAGTCTTTAGATAATGAAGAAAAGCACAGCGTGAGCAAGCAGTATATTATGCGTCATAAAATATTGAGCGCAATGGCCACTTCCGTCTCAACATAGCCATGTCGGTAATAGAATGTAATATCTTTTCTCTGGTTTTCTATTTTATGATGTGAATTGACATGTTGGGCAAATTTATTGATCGTCCTATTTGTAATAAACGAGGTATAAACGTTTTTTATTCATTAAATGTTTATAATGTGACGCAATAAAGTAAAAAATATTTTTTGGTAATTCCACATTGTTGCCAAAATTTCGTGGCATAGCCATTTTCACATGTCATGTGATATTTAAAGTTGAACAATGAAAATTTTAGTTTAGAAGTATTTTCTATGATATTTAAAGTAATGGTCATTTCAAATGTATTTCCGATAAGATAGAAAGTAACGTTTGAATGTGTCTGCTACATTATTTTAATAATAAACTTGCATTACTCTACACTTTAATATTGAGTTTTTTCTTTTCCTAACCTAACCTAACCATATCTTGTTCCTTTTCTGCTTTTTGTGCAAAAAATTTAAAAAATATATACGACATTATACATGGTACCGAGTCCGAGAACAAAGTCCTTATCAGACGATCAAATATTTTTGATCAAATTAGTTTGAGCAAACTGGCGTAATGACGTCATAATTAGTTTGTTCAAATTTTAAAAATCTACCTGTCACACGATCATTCAAATTTGATTAAATTGAAGTATATCAATCAAATTAATTGTCTTTTTTGTTTATTTATTGGTTGCATGTGCTTTATTTAGGATTCAAATTTTTCTTATCCACAATGAAATTAAAAAGGCTGAAAGGATTTTTTGTAATAATGTGGATTTTTCACATTATATAATCAGCTTCTTTCTCGATATAAATCAACTATGTAGAAACTCGTTCCTGGCTCCCAAGATATTTTGAACTTTTATTTTATAACAAAATTGGAAGACAAATAATTAATTGTATTGACAGGTTCTATCCAAGTTAAGTAGGACGCTGGCCAACTTCCTTGGATCCAAGATCCAAGTGGTGTGGTATTGAAAAATTAAAATGGCGTCACTGTCGAAAAATCGAAAACTAGAAGTAAACACAAAAAGAAAATGGGAAAATATAAAAGGGTTAGATTCATGGAGTTATACTAAGCTGAGGAAGCGTTATGGAATGTACAGATAAAGGAATATAAAAATAACGTGTTATTAAGTGCGGCATTTTTTATTTTTTAATCATTTTTTCTGAATTTCAAGCTCATGTATCAACATATGAACAACTACTAGAACACCGTCCACCATTACTTCCGCTATCTTACAATGGTTATTTGACATCCAATTCCTTTAACCTTGGCAACCAACTTGTTACAAATACACTTGTATAAGCCCAATAGGTGCAAGTTGAAATCCAAGCATTTTTGGATCGTGTCAACCCGCCTTTAGTGTGATATTACATTTTCTATTTTATATGATCATCATCAGTGAAAAATGTTTGTAGAGTAATTGAAATTAGCCACACAAGGTCAGATTACTTTTAAATTACACAATTAAAGTAACAAACATCGTAATTATTGTTTAAATAATGTTTGATACTTTAATTATGTAATTTAAGGGTCATCTGACCTCATTATGTGGCTAGTTAAGCACCAGGGAATATTATCCTGTATTGTCGCTGTTATCTGATCATACATGTCTCTCACCCTCACAATCACTGGGGACTCCTTTCTTATGGAGTGCCCATCACAATATCTCACGTCTTCTCGTAGCACAACCCGAGGTGGGTCTTGGCTGACTGCAAAACTCGCTTCTGTCTCAAATGTTAGTCCATGATAATTGGGTCACTGTGTAGCCTCACTATTCTTAAATCTTACCATATGTTATTTTTCCATCACATTCGTAGACATCCTAATGGCCTTCTCTTAGATTAACTTGGTAAGGCAGTTATTAGAGAATCTGTGGACATGGCCACTTAGACATTAAGATTTAATCTCTTGGACTACATTGCTAGCCCGGCATTTGTTCTTATTCAGTACTAGTCAGTATTCGAATTGTGATAAGGTCCAAAGATTCTTCTGAGCATTTATTGCATCTTTTAATTTGCAAGCTTATAATTAAAATTGCATCTTCTCTATGTATCTGTCTATCAATTGCTTTCTTCCATATTTTCATGGTGTGACTAGTTTTATTTCCTTGTAGTTTGTACATGGTTGTAAACAGGTACTCATATACTGCTTCTAGATTCATCTGGCATTTGTCCAACTTCCATAATTCTATTAAATAAACCTGTAGCCAACTTGTTCCTGTCTCACAATGCTGTCCATACTTCTCGATAAATGTCATTAGGTTTTCCTGTCTTTATTTTTTTTTTAAGTGCTTGAACCACTTCCTCACTTGTCATTTTGGTGACCATTGTTGTTAGTGTCTGATAAGTGATAACTGAACTGGTTTTCTGTCAAATTCTTCATTTTTATAAACTGCCAAAGTACTTTTTCCATCTCTTGTGAAATTTTATTTTCATACTTTATATATTGTCTTTAACTAAGCAACAATTGCAATAACGAAACATTTTGTTGATAACAAACTCAGTCCTCAATGGTTTTGGTATGGGAACTGAATGAGAAATCTATCAGATATTTCATATTAAATAAAACAAAATTAATGAGATCCTTGTTTCTTCTTGACTGCTATCAAGTTGATTTTATAGTTCTATATCTGCTTCTGCCACTATTGCTTTTTTTGGCATACTTCTTTTTCTTGAACTTCATTTGATCACCACTAGGTCTCTATATTCTCAAACTTCTTTCCAGTATTTCAAATAATACTGTCCTTCCTCCAAATTGTATTAACACTTCCTTTCATGTTCAAACACATTAGTTCTTGTTCGCTCTTCACACTTTATTTTTCATCTTTTAACCTCCACAACTTGGTATTTTGTGATCCTCTACAATATTTTAGTTTAGTTTTTTTTTGCTTCAATGACCATCATGATGTTGGCTTACTATTACCTTAAACTCTTTACATTCATGTATATCATCCTTTCTCATCATAAAGTAATTTATTTGGGAATGATTTTGTATGTAATAAGTTAAGTTTCTCTTTTGACAGAATGTGTTACCATATCCATACCATTTGCATATCTAATGCTATTATTAATTTAAACACACACGATTTCTTCAAATGTTCCTCTACGCTGAATAACTTTACATAGGCTTATATTATTTTAAGGAAGACGAAGGAATATCAGGACATTGCTGATAAATAAAAATACCCAAATCAGATTTTTTTAAGTTTTATTGAAAATAATGTAATCAACCATTACATTTAATGTGTTTTGGCTGCTAACCTCTTGTCTCTCTCTTCAGCAATAGACAATTTGACTCCCTTTCCTCTTGGGAGGGAAACAAAGGCCTTAGCTCCTTTACCAATAATGAAAACGTTATTTAACCTAAAAAAAAATTATTAATTTGTGATACTTTACAACTTTATTTTAAAATTGGTATTAATTCCAAGTACAAGAAAACAAAAAGCATTAAAAATATGAAAGACATGCAAGGTAATAAAAAGTTCTGTTTTTAGTTCTTTAAAGGCAAAAACCCAAATACTTTTGTCCACAACAAAAAAACTAATGAATAATATTCTTGATTTATCACCAACAGTTTGTAAATCATTGTTTGGAAAAGGATTTCTTTTTAACATCTCTCACACTTAAACTAACTTTCGTTTTGGACCCTTATTAAAAAAAAAGATGTCATTTTCAGGATATTTTTAGTCTGCACATGTTAATATAGAAACAAATCTTTTATCACTTAAAGAGAACAGCACTAATTTTTTGTATCAAAAATCTATTAACTTACCTAGTCGCAAATACATGACCATTAGCATCTTTAACATGTACAATATCAAAGGAACCAGGATGACGTTCCCTATTGATAACTGTACCTACACGACCTAAATTTCTACCTCCAGTGATCATACACAAATTTTGTGATTCGAACTTAATGTAATCTAGAATTTTAGATGTGGCAATTTCCAATTGGATGGTGTCATTGACTTTGATGTTTGGGTCAGGGTATCTGATGGTACGGCCATCATGTGTCACCAAGAATGGAATTCCTTTTGGTCCAGTTTGGACTTTTCGTACTTTGCAGAGTTTGTACTAGAACAAAAAATAAGTTTAGTGTTGAAGAAATTTCACATAAAAAATATTATTCAACTAATAAATCAGATGAGTAAGTACAGAATCACTTTAAGTATCATATTAATATTCTGTTCTTGTGCCTAAGCATCATGTTTTCAGTTGAGTTTAATCCTAGGGTTGAGTTTACCAAAAGTACAAGCTGATTATAGCCGCAAATGTCAAACATGGAACACAAAAATTTCGGAATAACAATGTTAGCATGTTTTTATAATATAGATGCTGTATGCTTCAAATATAAAAAGATAAAGATTTAGAAAAGTACATTTTGTTTATATTATGTTATGAATTCTGCAATTTTTGATTTATATAAAACAACAATGGGTAAATATTTGTTTCTTTGGAGATTAATTGCAGTTAATTATTAGAATCTTTTTTAGCAATTACCCTTTGACAGATTAGAGAATAGATTTGGCAATCATCAAATCAGGAGTTGCCAGATGTTTACAATTAACTTCTAAAGAGACAAATATCTACTTGTTATTGCTTCATATCAATTAAAAATTGCAGAATTCATAAAATAGTATAATCAAAATGGGACGATTTTCACATTTGGTCCCATTGAAGATAGCCTCAAGTTGGCTGTCAATTAAGTTTCACAGAACGAAATATTGCGTTGGCAGTGTTGCCATGTTTTTATAATGTATATGTTATATGCTTCAAATACAAAGAGATAAAGCTTTTAAAAGGTACATTTTTATCATATTATTTTATGAATTCTGCTATTTTATACCTTATATAAAATATTAATGAAGTAATATTTGTTTCGTTTGATATTAGTTGTAATAAATTATTAGAAAATTTTTTTGGCAATTGCCCTTTGATAGGTTAGCGGATAGATTTGGCAATAGAGTCATAATCCTCAAACCACCAGCTGCCAGATTGCATCAGATGCATTTTAAATTTTATTATTTATACTGACATTTTACTATTTACTGTTAAAAACTGTTTTAAAACTATTTATTTTTTCTTTTTTTCGTAATCGTTAAATATTAGTTTTTAAATATCTTATTGCTTTTAATTGCTTATGTTTCATTTGTAATGTAAATTTCAACACTGCGAAACACCAATATTTCATTCTGTCAAACCCATTTGAGGCTATCTTCAATGGGACCAAATGTGAAAATCGTCCATCAAAATGTACTTTTTAAAATCTTTATATTTGAAACATACAACATATGTACGATAAAAACATGCCAACACTGCCAAACCGAAATATTTTTGACATTTGCGGCTATATTCAGCTTGTACTCTAGGTAAACTTAACCAATCCTAAATCTGTTTAGTGTTAGTTCCATCAGTTCATCCTCTACTTTTGAAAAGTAGATTGACACACCTCTTATTCCGATAATCCAACTAAAAATTGTAAAGATACACTAGGCAGTAACAATAGCATTAAGCTCAAACGCCTGCTTCATATTTTTTTTTTACAATAACCTACATTACAAAAAAGAAAGTTTTTAGATTTTTGTAATCATATGGTACGCTATCATTGTATAAAAGCTTGTAATATGTACTGAAGATAAAACCCAAATGGTTTACTACCAAATTAAATTAGAATCAAGAACAACAAATCATGGGAGTGTTACTAAAATATCAATTCCTCTATTGTAAAATATTTAATTAAAGGTGAAAGGGTTTAAATCTTGTCAGTCAAAAAGCAAATATTCTTGTAATGCAAAAAATTTAGCATTTAAAATGTGTTAATGTAAAGCCATAATCTACTTACTTTTGCTTCTTCAGCAGTAATACGGTGAATGGCAAATCTACCTTTAACATCATAGATAAGACGGAAGAATTCACCAGTCTTCTCAATAGTAATAACATCTAGAAAAAATATATATATACCCTCTGTACTACACTAACCATTAACCTAACTTACCCATAAATCCTGCTGGGTAGTTACTGTCTGTTCTGACTTTTCCATCGACTTTAATTAATCTTTGCATAACAATTTTTGTAACTTCACTGTTGGTGAGGGCATACTTTAGCCTGTTTCTTAAGAAAATTACTAATGGTAAAGATTCTCTCAACTTGTGAGGACCGGTGGATGGACGGGGAGCGAACACACCACCCAATTTGTCCAACATCCATGCTTTGGGTGCGTTTAAACGCTTCAAATGCTTTTTAGGTCCTCGAGCCTGTAAAAATTTTTTTTAGGTTATAATTTTGAAACACAATTTTATAATAATAATATTTAAGCTTAAACTAAAGGATAAATAATAACTTATAAATCCCTTTGGAAATATTTAAATTAAACACGTAATAAGCACTAAATTTCCATGGTATTATTAAAAACACAACAACACAACTTCGTGAATGATAGCACTTAATATTCTGCCAGTAAACTTAAGTAGCCGCGGCACCAGAAATAAATATCACTTGAAACACAAAATATGGAGTTCGTTAATTAATTTTGGGTCAAATATTACGAATTTAATTTAATTTTTACACAGATGTTTCACGATAAATAAAAATTAGCAACCTACCATCTTGACTTTAAAAATATGAAAGACAGATCAGGCTAACCACAACAAAATTTTAATAGCGAAAATTACCAACAATCTTATATGTCAAAACTTCTCTGTGTTCTGTGGTCACAACTTATACTTTGCGGTGTTGTACTATGTTGAATGTACAGCTCAATAAATGAAAATTTATTATTTTTTAAAGCTGATATATGAGATAGTATAAAATAAATAGCGAAAATAAAAACTATAATAACAATGAGATGATCTCAAGTGTACTCCATATTTTACCATAGTCAGAGGTATGTATTAAAAAAAATTATACTGTGAATATTAGACAGAGGAACATACGAGAGATACAAACTTAAAATCCGCAGAGCATCCGAACGCTATCAAATCTACATTCTTTGACTAAGTTAAAATAAAAATCTTTATTATGCTATATATTGCGTAGAACTAAAACTACTGGGCATTAATTTAGAGAAAGTAATGAAAAAAAAAAAACATTTTTTGTACTAAATCCATCACAACAGAGAGGTAATTAGACCAAGCAGAGAAACAAACAAAATAGTCCACCAACAATAACCGAGATTAGAACAGCAGTAGACTAATTAAAGAGCAATAAATCAGCGATAGTTGAATTAAATAGCATGGGAGTTACTGAAGGAAGGATTGGACGCATTACTAAAGTCAGCTGCTAAAGATATGTTTAGATGAGCAGTTAGTAACGAAGTGAAATAGCGGTATTATTGTATCATTACATAAAAAATGCGATCAGTTACCTTATTAGTCCAGAAACCATCACCGCATGTTGGCAATCATTCTGGCCATGACAGTTTTATTTGTTGCTGCTCTGCATAGCCCTATGATGGATCTTGAAAAAGAGGTTCATAAGATATTTACGAAAAACACTTTGGGTAAACGCAAAGTGTTTTATTGGAGTTGATTTGAATGAGCAAGGACATATTGGTTGAGAAAGAGCGGGAATAGAAAGAGTCTACGGAGGTTTGGAGATGAGAATAGGAAATTATGAAGGAAATAGTGTTATTGACTTTGCAGTGGCATGGAATTTGGCTGTCATCAACACTTTCTTTATAAAGACTGAATACCAGTATGACACCTATAGTAGAGCGGGAAGGAAAAGTCAGATAGATTTTGTGCTGTGAAGAAGTCAGCTAAAAGAGAAACTGTAAAGTGATAAAGGATGAGTGTGTAGCTAGTCAAAACCGACCGGTGATAGTGCATAGAGCCGCTTTTAGAAGGATGTCCAAGGTGTTATGTATCAGAGACCTAAAATTGGCATTGAGGATCCGCCTACTTCGCATCTACGTATTCTCGGTCTTGCTTTATGGTGTCGAATCCTGAACTGTAAATAAAATCGATCTAAATCGCCTTGAGGCTTTCGAAATGTGGTGCTATAGAAGAATTATAAAAGTTTCCTGGGCGGAGAAGATTTAAAACTCCTCAATACTAGAACCTCTCAGTAAGACTACTGAGATCATAAAAAGCATCAAGTAGAGAAATCTGGAGTATTTCGGATATGTATAATGAAAGGTCCCAAATATAGGTTGCTACAAAATATCATGTAAGGAAAAATAGCAGGCAAACGCAGTCCAGGATGAGGAAGAACCTCATTGTTGAAGAACTTGCGAGATTGGTATGGTGTTGAAACAAGCATGTTATTTAGGGTGGCAGTGAATAAAATTAAGTGAGAGCGCCCACCAAACTGGCATGGCAAGTAGCAAGTAACACGCGTCTAGCATGATACTTGCCATGATTGAAATGTAACCAATGATTAGAATGAATGACGTCACTGTCATTTTGGTGTGCGCTGAATCATTAGTTTTCATTGGTTACATTTTAAGTAAAGGCCCGTTTTCACGGTACACTTTGGATGATCATCCCGGATGAATCATCCAAAGTGACTACGACGATGAAAGTAATTATCGTTTACATGTATCACCAAGACTGAACTAGTCTGTTCACTTACAAATGGCGCCGACTGAAGTTGTACGTGCTGGAATTGGTATAATAAGTGAATATCTTTTAAATGATCTTGAAAATGTACTTGAAAAACAGAAGATTAGAAAAAAACGACGTTGGTGGGTAAGGCCGTGGATACTTCGACGCTACAAAATGGGGGCGTCAACGTGTTTGTTAAAGGAATGGTCTACAGAAGATCAAGCCATGTTACAAAACCATCTAAGAATGTCTGAAGTGCAATTTGAAGAGCTACTTACCAAAGTCACACCGTTAATTCAAAAGCAAAGCACAACCATGAGAGAATCTCTTCATCCAAGACTGAAATTGCAAATTGTACTAAGATATCTTGCAGCAGGAGATTGCTTTTCTTCAACACTCGAAGCTTTGTATCGTGTACCTAAATGCTCCATTTCCCATTTTATGCCAGAAGTATTAGCTGCTATTTACGAAATACTTGAATACTGTATCAAGGTTAGTACCTAATTAGATTCTTTCTTACATATTTAAAAAAAAAACGTATTAAAACTTTATCCAAAAGGCATTTTATTCAAAAATTAAAATCAAACATAAATTCATTGGTAATTGTGAATAGTCGAGAATGCTTCGGATAATATATCATAAGGAGCACTCTCTTCATATCTTTCCATTGTAGTAGTCGGTGTAGAAACTGACGTCTCACTGTTAGTCGAATATACTGTATACAGTGATGGAGTAGATTCCTTTGAGCGAGTCTGTTCTAAGTTGAAGAGATACATGCGCTCTTCCATCATAACCTTTTGCAGCTTTTCTTGACATATCAGGGCGCGGTCCAGAGGCATGAGGTTTGTTCCAACACGCAATTTTTGTACGGTCCTGAAACCGTCACGAAACTACTTGTACCGTCTTTAACGCGCATGTTCATCATTTGTATCGTCTGATGATGGTAATTTGGAAACTGATGTTGGAACGATTTTCTGACAACTGACATAAGTTGGTGACAATCTACCTAAATAATTCTGGTTTTTCACCCTAGGTTCAGCTAATAGCTCCAAATCATCATCACTACTATAATAATCAGAAAAATCACTAATTCCTTCGTCGTCAGTCATATTTATAAATTTATAAATAATGAAAAACAAATATATAAATAAATAACGAGTCTATCATAAGCACCTGATAAAATAATTAACCTAACTTCTCATTTTTTCTGAACAAATTTACAGTTTTAATATAAAATCTAAATTAATATAGGCCCAAACAAATTTAAAGAAGTAGAATAAAATTCTAGTGCGCAAGTCATCCCAACCGGTACATGCATTTGCCAGATTACTGAAATTATCGTCACGAAACCGTCACTGGGCAATCACAATTTTTGTTGGAACGGTAGGAAGGACGATGAGATGAACGATCATATTTTTGTTGGAACGTATTTTGTCTAGTGCGCAGGAGCGTAACCGTTACGTGACGGTTTTTCGTTGTGTTGGAACAAACCTATGGTTTTAAGCTGAACTGACAGGCTTCGACAAAAATGATCAAATTCGTTATCTGTGCTTGCATTCTGTGCAGCAATTGCACTTAATTTATCTATTGCTTTTTCAATAGCTGAAATTCCAGAAAAACGATGCTTTTTTGAAAATGGGGTGTTCAAATTTGCTTGGGGACTCTCTTTTCTGATTCGTTTGTTATGCTGTGCCAGTTCGCTTTCTTTAGGTAGTACTCCATCATCTGTCGGTATGACATCATTTGCTGCCGCAGGTATGATAACCTCGGTATCAGTATTATTTCCTTCATAATTGACATCTTCAGTATCTGGATTCTGTGGCGTTGGGCTCCTTTTACATTTCGGAACCTGAAACAGATACCGCATATTATCATACAAAACGAAGTTGCTCGAATTTTTACCCACTTATAATACACATACGTATACAGTTTTGTCTTTTACAGGTGCCTACCACTACTAATGAATGGACAAAAGTAATGAAGGAATATTATACCCTTTGGAACTTCCCTAATTGCTGTGGCGCTATGGACGGGAAACATATTGCTATTCGCTGTCCTGCGAAGTCGGGATCGTATTTTTTCAATTATAAACAAACGTTCAGCACTATTCTTTTTGCAATTGTGGATGCTAATTATAACTTCCTATATATTGACGTCGGTACAAATGGCAGAGCAAATGACGCATTAGTGTTTTCCAAATGTACATTTAACGAAGCTCTGGAGAACAATTTGTTAAATATACCTGAAAATGGTGTTTTTCTTGGGGACGACGCTTTTCCTCTTAGAACCTATCTTTTGAAACCTTATAGCAAGAAATCATTAACTAGGAAGGAAAGGGTATTTAATTATCGGCTATCTCGAGCTCGTCGCCTATCAGAAAATGCATTTGGCATACTTGTGTCTCGTTTTCGAGTATTCGAAAAGCCTATTCCTCTCAAAGTAGAAACAACTGAATTACTGGTGAAAGCTACTTGTGTTCTTCATAATTGGCTCAGACAAACCTCTACTTGCAAAGCACCATACGTAACTGAGGGATTGATTGATGTTGAATTATGGGAGGAAGGCAGAATTGTACCTGGAATATGGCGACAAACTACACACGACGGCCTCAGAGACATAACACTTGCTACAAGTAACAACCACAAGAAAGTTGCTGCCGCTGTACGTGATGATTATGCAGATCTGTTCTGTTCAACTGAAATTGTACCGTGGCAGTGGAAAATGATTTAAATGGCTTATTCTTGTATAATTGTTCATTTACTTAATAAAAATTGGTAACTAATTTTTCTGTGGTTTTGTTGTTTATACGTGTAAGGTAAGCAACCAAGATGAAGTGGGACATTTTACGTCTAAAACGATCAACTATATTTCAGCTATTTTAAATCGATATGGTTTTTATTTTCAACTTACTACAATACCCTACGACCCACCTAATACATATATGTACTTATAATTGCTAGTAGTATGAAAATAAAAAAATGCTATACTTACTGTACTTGCTGAGCTGCTCCTCGGTACACAAACTGCACGTAAGAATGAATCGGCTTGTTTGTACCAAAAAAGTTTGGGGACATAAACGTCATCTGGCCCTGTACCACTTTTTACGGATTGATTTACTTTAGCCAGTTCAGATGAATATCGGGTACGAATTGTTTTTATTTTTAACTTAATATCTTCCACCATCACTCCCTGAAGATTCAGCTCCTCAACGATTTCTTTTAACGCTTTTTCTCTATGGGTTTTATTTTTATATGTCTCTGCTTTAGTGTTCCAAAGACACTGTCGGTCTTTCATTAAACTCAAAATTAGAGGAGTATGGTCGTCTTTCCACTTAAAAACCATGATAGCAAGCGTACAAACACAACAACTACGCACTTCAAACGCGACAATACACAACCACGTGGACCTGTTGCCGCCGTTCACTAGTCACTACCGATGAATTACAGCAACAAATGCATGTTTACATGGTTCACTTTGGATGATTCATCCGCGATGCATCCCCTAAAGTGAACAAAAGTAGAACTCGGTTCAACTTCGTTCAATATTCATTTTGGATGATCACTGTCGATGAATAATAGTTTATACGATTCATTTATTTTTCACTTTGGATGATTCACCCGGGATGATCATCCAAAGTGTACCGTGAAAACGGGCCTTAACATGCTAGACGCGCGCTACTTGCCATGCCAGTTTGGTGGGCGCTCTCCCTAAGATAGCTATGATGGTAACCAACGTTCTGAAAGGGCATGGTACATGAAGAAGAAGATAGTGGATACGGGGATAATGGTGAAACAGAAAGAAAAACGAGTAGGACACTAGAAAGTAAAGTGATGGAAGTTAAAGTATAAGGATTTGACAAAAATCTTTAAGAGTAGAAAGCTTGAGGAAAAAGATACGGTAAATGGCTGGTGTGAACGTTGCGGTGCGAGTGGAAGTGCTAGGAAAATATCTGGTAAAGGTCTTCCTAGAGATAAAGAAACTTTGTGGTGGAACGATGCAACACAAGGTTTGAGATAAGAAAGAAGCTAGAGAGAGGTATGACATTCTAAAAGAAATGAATATAAGGATATATACAAGGTAGCCAAGAGGGACGCAAAGCACGCTGTAGCTACTGCTAAGGCAAGATCGTCCGCACAGCTGTATGAAGAGTTGGAAACATCTAAGGGAATGAAAAGGTTATACAGCGTTACTAAAGCAAGAGACAAATCATCAAAGGACTTGACCCACTTGCGGCAAATTAAGAGTGTAAGAATCGGTGTTGAAATAAAATAAAGATGGTATGAGTACTTAAGAAAGTTGGTAAATGAAGAGCAACAGAGGAGTCAGAAGACGTGCGATTTCAAACGATAATTTAATACCGGGGATAGCGAGAGATGAGGTTCTCGAGTGGTTAAATAGGATGAAGAACGGTAAGACAGACATACCTGATGGAATATCTGTGGAGGTTTGGAAGTCTCTAGGACAGCGAAGGATTGATATTTTGTGGCAAACGATGAGTAGAATATATCAGGAAGAATGGATGCCCAATGCATGGAGAACGAGTGTGATGGTATTATAAAGGAGATCAAAGCTCTTCACTGAGTCCCTACCTGTTTAATCTTGTAATTGATGCACTGACAAAGAAATCCTTGGTCAATGCTCTGTGCTGATGATATCGTGTTAGTAGAGGAGAGCAAAGATATGTTGGAGGGTTGAATGGCAAAAAAATAGTCGGCTCTGATTATGGGGATAAACCACTTGCTTTATGTTTGTGAGTACCTTCATGGATTCAAACTCTTAGAATCCTCAGCCAAATTTAGAATTATAAATATGGAGCCTTTGTTAGCTTAAAGGCACTCTCTAGAGTGATCTTCTTTTCGTGTAGCGAAGAAACATTGTACTTTTTACCTAGTTAACACTATTATGACCATATGTTCCATCAATTCAGTGTCACAAAAGTTATCCATGGATTTGAGATAACCAACCAATATTTCCGCAAGTTTTCTATCAAGCATAACGCCGATATATTTTGCCTCTATCGAGATTTTTGAAACTGTAATGACAAGTGGACATGGATAAATCCCACTAACGTCATGGGAAATGTATTGTTAAGATCAAATATAAGAGGTGGGAGAGGAGGACAATTAACAAGTACTGATGAACCAATGTATATGAGAAAGATTGCACATAATGTGAAAATAGCTGGTGTTTTGCTCCATGTACAGGTCAAGACTAATAAATGCCAAATAAACAATATCAATGTTTTCCCTTATTGGCTTTTAGCAAAATCAGGTTAATTTTTAAATAAGCAAAGAGTAAATAAAACAAATAACACTATATTTGTATAAGAAAGAGTTTATACGATTATATCTTAAAAAGCTCAGGAATATATAAAATAGAAATAAAGTACTGTCTTTAACAAATAACAGAATTTCTTTCTAAAATAATTTATTTACAAATTTAAATATACTTAATTAATTAATATTAGTATTTCTTATTTACTATCAGTTTCAGCATCTAAGTCATACTTTTCTCGCAGATCTTGATGGACAGACCACCGAAATTTGAACCTTTTAGCCTCTTTATCCCTATATTTTTCCCAGTATGCACTCCTTTTCAACTCTCTAATGATCATACCTTTAGAAACATTTTTATTAGCACCAGTCTTTTCCAAATCAGCTAAAAACTGTTCAACGAGAACACTTTTCTTACACGGACTGTAATGGACCAATTTTAAAAATACTGGAATGAGATCAGGATTTAGTTCTCGAGATACTTTGTTCTTTTTCTCTTTTACTACGAAAATGTCTACTCTTTTTTTAATCATTATTTGACCTCTGTGTATAATAGCTAGAGGTTGTAGGTACCTATCAACAGCCTCTTCCACATTACTGCCATCTTTGTTATACCATATGCAACCAATGGATCTAGGCTTTAATTTGTGAGTCTTGGACTTCATGTCTTGATCAAACTCTTCTTTAAGAAGCTTAAGTTTTTGTTTCAAAGAATCTGGGGATAAACGACTCAGTTCTTCATCATCCACCTCATCATCACTCAAGTGCCCATGTGGAACAAAGAATTCATTATCAACTTCATAATCATCCTTGTCATCCTCATTTTCCTTCTCAGCTTCATCTTCAGAACCATTAAGAGACTCACCTTGTTCCTCTTCCTCCCAATCATCATCTGAATCCTCCTCGTAGTTTAAAATGTTTTTATCTTCACCCAGAGGTTTTCTTGGTTTAACAAATTTGCTTTTTTTCCTCCATGTGCCATAATATGCAGGTCTACGATTGTCATGGAAGTACAAAAACTTCGCTTTGTGTCTTTGAAGGCCAGATTTGTCTTCACAAATAGTTTCTCCCAAATCAACAAGAACAATATCATCATCAAGAGATTCTTCATATGGCCAAGTTTTCAGACTTTTACCTATAGCCTTTCCTGATGACAAATCTTTTAAATATGAAGCTTCTGAATCTTGAGATTCTAGATAAGATACCAGTTTTTCTTTTTCTTCATTAGTTAAAAATTCCCTTCTGGGCGAAGGTAATTTCATGTCTGATTTAACTTCAAATTGTAGAAAATTGGAAGTTTGTGGTCTTTTTTCTTCTTGTCCTTTTTTGTCATCTTGTGCATCATCAGTCTTTTTGGCTACAAAAAAGTTAACAAACGCTGCAGCTGCCTTTTGTTTCTTTTCTTCTTCCTTCAACTTCTCTTTATTTTTTTCTTCAATCTCCTGCAGTTTCTTTAATTTTTCCTCTTCACGTTCTTTGCGCTTTTGTTCTTCCTTCTCTTCCTTTTCTTTCCGTTTTTGTTCCCTTTCTTCTTTTTCTTTTCGTTTCTTTTCTTCCTTCTCTTCTTTCTCTTTTCGTCTTTGTTCCAATTCTTTGTCTTTTTCCATCTTTTTCATTTCCTTTTCTTTTTGCTTCTGTTCCAGTTCTTTCTCTTTAATCTCTTTTCGCTTTTGCTTTTCTTCAAGTCTCTTTTTCAGTTTTTCCTCCCTCTCTTTATCTTTTTCTTGTTGTTTCTTTTCCAACTCTAACCTTTTCTGTAACTGTTTAGGAGTAAGTTTTTTGTTAGGAGTTTCTGCTTTTAATATCTTAGTAGGTACAATTGACTCTTTTGACTTTTCAGTGTCTGTTGGTTCGTCACTCTCTGATGACAAGCCTTCAGAATCTTTTTCTTTATCATCTTTGTTATCAGTATCTATTTTTGTTTCTTTTTTCACTTTCTTGGGAGTGTCTGTATTCTTAGATGTGGTTGTAGAATCATTTGTGTTATCCTTACTATCAGTTGGTTCATCATTGTCAGATGAAATTACTGAAGACTCTAATGTAGTGTCCATGAATTCTGGATTATTTAATTCCACAGTGTTTTCAGTAAATATAGAGCCATTTTTAGATAACTTTTCAGAACTTGTTTCTTCAGAACTAGAAAAATAATACAATTAGTATTTAATAGGTTTTTAAATATTTACTATTTAAAATAACTGACTATACTTTAATCGGAAAATACAATGGACTGACTAATTTTTAATTTGTGGAGCATTGCGGTGTATAAGGGGACGTATGTCAGCTCTTTACACTTAAACCATAGACTTCCGGATTTTATGAAAATATTTAATTTAGTGAACAAAATAAAATTAAAAAAAAAGAAAACATGTTTAGTTGTGTACATCAAAAGTATTCTTAAAATTCAACAGAATATTCCCAAATAAATTTAAACCACACTGTAACAAAGTAAAAGTTTTTTGAGTTTATAGACACATTCTGTATAAGTGTGACATGAAAAAGTATGTGAAGAGAGCTAAAAAGTAAACATGAAAATGATATAATTCAAAATAAGAATACTGTAGTGAAAAACTGTTGAAAACATATCTGTAAAAATTATAGTTTATTCGTCTTCGGGTTTGGACCGTGTCATTTGTGAGTGACCCAAAAGTGGGTTCATCTCGACGTTTCGCTACAATTGTATGTAGCTTCTTCAGGAGAACAAAAAAGAAAAAAGAAAGAAAGAAGAAAACAAAGAACAGGAAGATGGGTAGTTAGCAACGGTAACTCAGTTACTCAACGCAACCAGAGGCGAATACTAACTACCAAGATGGGCATTTGGTCACAGTAACTCAACTACTCAACGCAGCCAGAGGTGAAAACCAAATGCCAGGACAGGGATTCACGTCCAACAGCTCAGAACACTAACGCGTCGAGAGGCGGGGAGTGAATCCCAATGTGTTGGGATTCACTCCCCGCCTCTCGACGCGTTAGTGTTCTGAGCTGTTGGACGTGAATCCCTGTCCTGGCATTTGGTTTTCACCTCTGGCTGCGTTGAGTAGTTGAGTTACTGTGACCAAATGCCCATCTTGGTAGTTAGTATTCGCCTCTGGTTGCGTTGAGTAACTGAGTTACCGTTGCTAACTACCCATCTTCCTGTTCTTTGTTTTCTTCTTTCTTTCTTTTTTCTTTTTTGTTCTCCTGAAGAAGCTACATACAATTGTAGCGAAACGTCGAGATGAACCCACTTTTGGGTCACTCACAAATGACACGGTCCAAACCCGGAAGACGAATAAACTATAATTCTGACTCTGGCCGTGGAAGCCTACGATTTATCTGTAAAAACTAAATGCAAAAAGAAATATTGGGAAATTAATTTACCTATTATCTCCATTTTCTTTTTCATTCTGCCTTTCCTCTTTCAGCACCTTCTTTTCTAATTCTTTATCTTTATTAACTGCAATATCATTTAATGTTTTAACACCACACTCTTGATGAAGGCTAAAATTAAATAAAATTGTGTAAAAATGTATAGAGTAGATAAGTATTTACAAAAAAAAATAAATAAATAACAATAAATAGTGAGTTCAAGAGGGTTTTAACCTAAGGTATTTTATTTTTAAATTTTGTCTTCTTTTGAATAGTTATATGGCAGATCAAACAAATGATTCAAATATTTTTTTAATTAAAGAAGTTGTATCTTAAATTTCTGTCAGTATAATTGATTCCTTCAAACAAATTTTTATTTAAATAAGTTACAAATAAATAGGTAAATATTCAACCTCACCTATTACATTCACCTTCATCTCCATTGGTAAACGCATTATCTTGCGCGTTCTGCTCAGAAACACTGCAAAAAAAACAAATAATTAATTAAAACTTAATATTAGCCACATTGCAGATAAACAAATTCACTTGGAAATTATAACTCACCCAGTACTGTCACTATCATGATTTTCATTTAAAGTAATTGTTTCCTCTATATCAACCTTTATTCTTTTTACATCCTGTTTTTCGGTTGTCTCAGAGGGTGATTTCGACCTAGATCTTGATTTGGAATGCTGTCTCTTTCGTGAAAGAAGCATTTCTTCAGAAGTACTTTCCATGGTAGGGCAATACCTCTATTTTTTATATCTGCAATAAAACAACTTACATAAGCTTATAACTAGAAAATTAACCATTTTGAAACTTACAAATCTCTTATTTGCATTTACTCCAACAGAAAGAAACTTTAAAACATTTATTATTTTAATTTTAGTTTTCCTGTTTTCCTACATAACCAAATTATCTTGAAACCGCGGGCTTTTTGACGTAGCCGCTTACAAAACGTCACTTTGCGTTTGTACACGGGCGTGCTATATATACTGAAATAAGGATTGCTATCAGAAAATTGATATACATAAACATTTAAAAATACTCTTTAAAATATAGTATAGACTTTTTAAAATTTTGTCAAGTTATTTCGCTATCTTATTAATTAGATTTTTTTAAATTAATACAACATTAAAAATTTAATAAATCTAAAAATGCATACGCCTATGAGTATTTATGAAATTGTTCAAATGTCAAAAATGATTGTTGTGACTTGGCCTTTTACGTTGTTAGTAAACAAACTTCTAATCAAGATAATGAAAGAAACTACAGACTACATTTCGTATTAACTTATCTTTAAAACGTAAATAAAAATATATGGAAGTGCTTATATTATTATAAAAATTTGATTATGGAGATATGGAGGCTGTGCAAAAAATGAAAAAGTCGGATAATTTGGAAAATGAGACTGGTGAACCGAATATTTCGAGGGTAACATCTTTAAAAAACATTCCATATTCAATAAAATTTACTAGGTTATGATGATTTATGTTCAAATTATATCCCATAATTTTTATTAAATTGAGATAAATATACAACTGTACATTACATACAGTTGCATTAAGCTACATCATTATAATAATAAATTTAATAAAATTAATTTTGTTATGTAATGTCTTAACTTCTTTTAATAATTTGTTTTTGTCAAGGAGGAAGACCTCTCTTCATTTAGAGAGCAGTGGCAGAAAGAAATCCGTTCAACAAAAAGAAGTCAGACTGATGAACAATTAAATAAGGTACTGAAGCCGACATCTTCAGAAAATGTTGCAGGACACAAAGCTGATATCAAGAACCCTAGTCAAGAGGATGATACTAATGAAAAAGCTACTAAATTGTTTCTTAAAGGTGTGGAAATGGAGAATTCTGGAAAGTTGTATGAAGCCATTCAGTACTATAAACAAGCTGTTCAGATTGTACCTGATATTGAATTTATAATGCATAAGAAGACTAAGCCTAAAGTAATACAGGAGAATGAGGAAGAGGAACTGAATGGTAAATGCTTTTGTTTTTATAAAATATTCACATAAGGTTTTCCAAGTCTAACTTTTCTCATAATTTAAATTGCTGTTTTGTTTTTTTTTTCAGTTTTTCTTGTTTCATACAAATGTTATGCAGGAACAAAGTTGAATGTTAATTTTATTGCCTTATTTTTATTTTCAGAGAACATTGAAACTGAAGATGCATCAACAGATGATGATGAGGATAATGAAGAAGAGGATATTTTCCTTAAAATTCAGAGAAAGGTTTCAAACAAGACTTCTTTGTGCCTTCCAAAACACTCAAATAATGTATGGATTATATTTATTTTACTTTATTATCTATAGCAATGTTTTTTAGGGTTTGCACATTGGCCAAATGCCGGTGGAGTTAATTTTGTATATTTTAAAATGGGTTGTATCTGATCAGTTAGATATGAGGTCATTGGAAATGTTTTCTAGAGTTTGTAGAGGATTTTACCTTTGTGCTAGAAATGAAGGAATATGGAAACTTGCTTGTTTGAGGTGAGCAGTGATCTGATAGATATTAAAAAATTGGTATAAGCAAATGCTATTTTTTTTGATTAAAAATGTTTTTATGGTTTTTATTAATATATTTTCTTCATTTTATTTTACTTCAGTTTACTATTTCATATATTTTGTTCAAACCAATTTAAGTCTTCCACAAGTCCTTCCTTTTTCTTGTTTAGTTTTCTTGATTGTTGGATATCATGTGATAGTGATGAGAAGGTCAAGAATGATCCATTCACAAAGATCTGATCTTTTCGAAGACCTGTGATTGATAGAATCACATTCTGTGACCCTATCATTCCAATGACCCTATGAATCATGCCCATGAATAACGCTGTCTAGTGTTTATGAAACGAACTTGCTCAGTCAAATTAATACATGAACCGCGAACCGCAAAGGATCATTCAAACACTGATTTCAGTTTCCCAGAACAGTGAAACCCTTAAGCTGCAAAAGGTACATTCGAATTGTCAAGTCAGCAGTCTCTTGGTCTGTTCTATTTATAAATTTGTAGAAAATAAAATCCATTTTAATTGTTGCATTATCATTCATTCATGAACTTTTTGATGATTTTACTTGACTTTTTCAAGTATTTTTTTATACTTTAATGATTTCTGAAGATGATTTAAGAAATACAAATCTTAAAGTCAGCCTTAAACTATATTTCATTCTTAAATTTATAGTAAAAATTTCGAATTCTACATGTAAACAACAATATAATTAGTCACTCTAATCAACAAATCTCTATGAACGGGTCCTCAGATACTCTCAGAAAGATTCATAAGCATATCAATATTAAATTCTACACACTTGATCTTTACACAACAAATTCAATTAGTCATTCATATGAACGGATCATTTTAATCAATGACCTGGAAGATCTGGGTCACTGAAACGAATCAGGTCTTCCCATCACTCGTTGGCTATCATATTCGCTATTGTAACTTTATTGACAGCAGCTCTAAATAATGATGTAATCAATTTTCAGTACCATTATTTTAGGTTTTTCTATAGGATTTCTAAAGTTGCATTTAAATCAAAGTGAACACAAACAAACAAATGAAGGAACAAATTCATATGTTTGCTTGGTCATTTGTTCTCTACAAAGAAGGACCATTTACATTGTAGTGATTGCATTCATTGATGATATGTCTGCAATATCGGATATAGATGAAAATGTAATCATTAGCGCTGCTGATTTTACAGTAATTGCTGGACTTTCTGATATAAAAAGGAAGAAGATAATGTGTACAAAAGAGAAAAAAGAAGAGATAATGCCTTGTTAATTGATTTAACTACTGACAATTTAGGCCAAGTTACAAATTTCTGTAGAATGTCTGTGGATTATTTTGAAATGAAATTATAAAGCAAAACACATTAAAGGCAAAACAGCCATTATTTACACATAGAAGTTCCCAGCACTACTCAACAAACAGCATTTATTTGTAAATAAATTAGTATTAAAACAGTAGTTTCCAACGAATTAGATCGCTACATTCTATCCACTATTTACACTAAACACTGATTTCCTTTAATGATGTACTGACATAAGTTGGAACATGTCTGAACACAAACTACTTTGTTACGTCGTGTTTGATTCGCTATTTAAATACATTAATTTTAAGGAATGAATTTGTTCGATCATTTGTGTTTGCTTTGATTTAAATGCACATTAACTGCATTTTCAGTTGTTTTTTCTCTTTTTTTTTTTACATATTGCATTTATTGATATATATATATGTATATATATATATATATATATATATATATATATATATATATATATATACATATCATGTATCGATATCTTGATCTGATACTCACCTTACACATTTTGTACTCCCTGCTCATCTTACATGTTTTTTAAGTTGATAATTTTTTTTCTTTTCATAATTCTCCAGAAACTAGAAGTTTATTACGAAGCTGAAATTAACTGTTTATTTACAAGATTCTTATGTAAGTATTTACTTTTTTAGAGTTTGGGGTGTAAATCGTGGGTCTACTACTGGAGATTACAAGTCTTGGCGCCATATGTTCATAGAAAGACCAAGAGTAAATTTTAATGGTTGTTACATCAGCAAGACAACATATATAAGAAACGGAGAAAACAGTTTCCAAGACCAGTTCTACAGACCATGGCATTTGGTAGCATATTACCGATTTTTAAGGTAGGTGTAAAATTTGTCAATTTTATTTGAAAATAAAGAACTTATAAGCTTCCTAAATAAACATTATTATTATGTTTTTATTTGAACACATTTAGTGTTTATTTCATTTGTTGTTTAAAAATAAATTTTCATGTGAGAAAAGGCACAGTTAATTATCAGTTAATTCTTGTTTGTAGATTTTATCCCGATGGTACAGTATTGATGCTGACATCAGCAGAGGAGCCAATGCAGGGAATCCACCTGCTGAAATCAAGAAATGCTAAATATCCAGTTTTCACTGGTTGTTACAGACTAAAAGATGACAGAGTAATTTTAGTAGTCAAAAGACAACAAAAAAGTGTACCTACTGAATTTAAGAAGAGTTACAAGAAGCAGGATAATTCAAATAAGAAGGAAGTGGTGTATAATATGGTAAATTAAAATTAGTTCAAATGGACATTTGCTAGAAAATTTGAATGGCTTTTCATTTAATTCTTCTACATCCAACTTTTTATACAGAGTTTCTCTTTTAACATTAGTTATAAATGTATCGCTCCTTAATACTTTCACTCAATCACAGAAAGTATCCATTTCATTTTTTAAATTTGAAGAACCATGCTGATTTCTTATAATATCTGTAAAATCCAGAACTGAACAGTTTTAATGTTTTATTGTAATGTTTTTTGGTTTAACCATGTTTATCAAAGATATATTTATTATATCATTTATCATACCCAACGTTTCTATTCTCTTAATCTCTTTTTTTGGGATTTTGAGGTATGGTGTTAAGGACATAGTGTGGTTATGATGTGATTTTCAATTGCCTGGTCTTCCAGTTCAGTTTAACCCTTTCTTTACCAGTGACGTATATACACGGTTTGGGGAAAAGTGCCACTGTTCCCAGTGACATATATGTATATATATATATATATATATATATATATATATATATATATATATATATATATATATATATTATTGTGATATTTAAAGTCTTAGTGCGCCAAGCAATTAATTAGCTAATTAATTAATTAATTAATTAAAATTATTTAAATGATATGACTATGATTCTCTCACACTTTTTAATTCTCTTATCTAAGGGTTCTATTCGTGCTTCAATATCTATGCTATTACATGTGAAAGGTAAGGTCCAAAGAATACCGGAATAATAAAAAACATGTAGGATCTAACATATATTGAAATAAAATAATGCAATAAAATTCACACTCAAAAATTTTCAATAAACAAAATCTCATATAATGATTCTCAAAATTTTGTTCTACGTACGTGAACCTTCAAAATTACTGGTACAAACAATATTATGTTGAAATCTCAAAATCCAAATATTATTCTAAATCTCCTAATCAAAATATTTATATCCTTTTTAAATTAAGTGTAAAAATTGTGTTATCAATAAAAGAAAAATTGCAGAAAACAAAACTATCTCTCTCTGATGATGAGTGGTCCAAATCCTTGTTCCTTGTAGACTATACTATTTACTCGTACCCGCTCCCTAGGTAATCAGCAATCTTACAACAAATTATTGCAAGTTTATCGTCCTCAATGATCTCCTTCAAATGCAGGAATCGTTCAAATTATGCTAGCTTCTTCTTCTCTCAATAAACTGAATCTCTCGTTGGCCAGAGTGAAAATTGACTCTTGGAATATATTTTCTTTACGATAAACTGAATCTCTCGTTGGCCTGAACAGTGACTCTTGGAATATAAGTAGAAAATATAACTTACAATCTTTTACTGGATCAGCTTCTGTCAGATACACTAACTACACGAAGACTCACAAACTTTCACTGCTACTACTTCCTACCTCTGGGAAACTACCCGAGAACAACGGTCGTTCGCCTTGCACCCTTGGAAACCAACTGACTATCTTTTTTGTTTCAAAAACTAACTAAAGTCTCATTCTCAAACCAATCATCCCGCCTTTTTCAATATCATCAATCAAAACGCATCATACATCTCCCATTTCTTCATTTCGATAACACACAAATTTTTACCTACAATTATAAAATTTCCTAAAACTTATTTACAAATAATGTTCTACAATTCTTAAGAACTAACAAAAACATCTTTCTACGTTCTATTCTATTGTCCTAATCACTGCACTAATGTATTTGGAAAACCCGGTTCAATTGTCTTAAGTTCGCTCACGTCACTCAAATATATTTTAACAAAGAAAATAATTTATGCATAGCTTACGTTTTGTTCAATATAGGTAATCCAAAGATAAAAGGACTTTCATTCTTCGAAATGTTTGTCGTTTATTAATTTGACTTATCTGAATTATTTTAATTATTTGAACTTTGCAATATTTTTAAACAAACCGATATTTTCTTGATTTTACATATCATAACAATATATATATATATATATATATATATATATATATATATATACATATATATATATATACAATATATATATATATATATATATATATATATATATATATATATATATATATATATATATATACATATATATACATTCTCGAGTGAAAACGTTTTTAATACCATGCCGTTTATATACGGCATCAAATTTTTTTTGCACTTGTTACAGTGCCATCAGCCCCAATCCCGTATTAGTACGTTCGAACATGCATTGTGATGAACCCACTGCCGTATTGATACGGCAGCTTCTGATACAAGGCGTTTCGGTAACTGCCGGGTATAGTCGGGTTTTTGGTCTATTTTTAGCATGCGTGTACCGCGTGTACCGTGTACGTTAGCTTTAGCACGGACTATGCAGTATTCTGTTGTTACTGTTGCAGTGCAAATGTATTGTTAAATTTCAAGAAAATGTCTGATTCGAGAAAAAGAAGGCGCTTATTTCTGAAAATGAAGGTGCTGATAAGGATGAAGCCGAAGTTCTGGTTACAAATACATCGAGAAATGAAAGCAAAATAGCTTTAGCGGATGATTTTAGTATACAATGGAATAAACAGCAATTTGTTCCTGTCGTGTACGAGTTTGATGACACAAATTCAGGTGCCCATTTAGACAATATTGAAAATCCTGCCAGGGAAATAGATTGTTTTCTTTCCTTTCTAAATCCAGGCACCGTTAATTTAATTATACACTAAACAAATAATTTTGCTGCAGCGGAAGTTTGCAAAAATAAAAAGATTGCTTGGTCGCCACTTACAGTAATGAATTTTTTACATTCATCGCTGTGCTATTGCTCGCAGCACGCCATAGAAAAGCCAAACTTACAGAAAATTGGTCAACAAACGATTTGTTATATACACCCATATTTTCTAGTGTAATGTCCCGGAATCGCTTTCAGTCTATACTGAGAATGTTACACTTCGCTGAAAATGCTGATCAACCTCAAGCGGATTCTTATTACAAGGTGCGAGGCGTTTTTTTTGCAGGTAAAAAACTCATTTGCTAATAATTTTATGCCATTTCAAAATCTGGTAAACGACGAAAGTTTAGTTCTATTCAAAGGACGGCTGCAGTTTAAACAGTTTATAAGAACCAAACGCCATTGGTTTGCAATAAAATTGTTTCTTCTATGTGACTGTGAAACGGGTTATGTGTTAGACTTTATCGTTTATGTAGGTAAAAACACCGAAATAAATAATTATGAGGATATCGCCCTCTCAGGATCTGTGGTTCTCACTCTTATGAAACCCTACTTGTACAAAGGTCACTCGCTCTTTACTGATAACTGGTATACGTCTCCTAGTTTGTCAAGTTACCTATTTGACCATAAAACTAACTCTTGTGAAACAGTCATGGTCAACAGAAAACACATGCCTAATTTAGCAGAAAAACTACAAAAAGGTTAAACTTCCTCAATATCGAGTTCCAATATGTTGGCACTAAAATGGAAGAGTCGAAGAGAGGTCACTACGTTTACTCCCATGCACCAAGACAAAATGGTAGAATTGACTAAAAAAGACAGATAGACAAACGAATTCATTAAAAAACCAGCTTGTGTAATAGATTACAATATGAATATGGGAGCAGTAGACAGGACTGACATGTTACTAAGTTCCACAGAAAACGTCAGGAAAACTGTCAAATGGTATAAAAAGCTCTTCTTTCACATATTGGACCTTTCTATTCTAAATGCACATGCAATATACCTTACACAACACCCAGAGAAAACACCATTGGCCCAGTTTCACTTGAATCTTATTCCTCGGCTTCTAGACAGGTATGTGGATCTAATCTTGAAATTATTTTGTTACAATGAGATGTTATTATAGTTTATTCGTCTTCCGGGTTTGGACCGTGTCATTTGTGAGTGACCCAAAAGTGGGTTCATCTCGACGTTTCGCTACAATTGTATGTAGCTTCTTCAGGAGAACAAAGAAAAAGAAAACAAAAGACAGGAAGATGGGTAGTTAGCAACGGTAACTCAGTTACTCAACGCAACCAGAGGCGAATACTAACTACCAAGATGGGCATTTGGTCACAGTAACTCAACTACTCAACGCAGCCAGAGGTGAAAACCAAATGCCAGGACAGGGATTCACGTCCAACAGCTCAGAACACTAACGCGTCGAGAGGCGGGGAGTGAATCCGACGATTACTCCGCTACCGCTCTATTTATAATCGCGGTGACCTGTCGTGTCGGGACGTATCGGCACACTCCGTGGCGCGAACGTCAAGAAGCGCGCGCTGGCCAATCATGTGGCTGCATCGTGGTAGCGGGACCGGACGGCAGGTGAATGGGAGAAAAGACCTGATCTGAGATCAGGTCTTTTCTCCCATTCTGCAGTTGCAGAACACTGCCAAGAAACCGGTCATTCCATATTGTTCGAAAAAACCCATATTATTTCTAAGAGCCCCTTCTTTTATTCCAGGAAAATCCGCGAATCTCTAGAGATCCGAAAAAATCCACATAATATCAATCGAAAGGAAGGATACTACTTGTCTCCCATCTGGAATCTCAGTCTAGAGCCGCCGTCCGGTCCCGCTACCACGATGCAGCCACATGATTGGCCAGCGCGCGCTTCTTGACGTTCGCGCCACGGAGTGTGCCGATACGTCCCGACACGACAGGTCACCGCGACTATAAATAGAGCGGTAGCGGAATAATCGTCGGATTCACTCCCCGCCTCTCGACGCGTTAGTGTTCTGAGCTGTTGGACGTGAATCCCTGTCCTGGCATTTGGTTTTCACCTCTGGCTGCGTTGAGTAGTTTAGTTACTGTGACCAAATGCCCATCTTGGTAGTTAGTATTCGCCTCTGGTTGCGTTGAGTAACTGAGTTACCGTTGCTAACTACCCATCTTCCTGTCTTTTGTTTTCTTTTTCTTTGTTCTCCTGAAGAAGCTACATACAATTGTAGCGAAACGTCGAGATGAACCCACTTTTGGGTCACTCACAAATGACACGGTCCAAACCCGGAAGACGAATAAACTATAATTCTGACTCTGGCCGTGGAAGCCTACGATTTCAATGAGATGTTATTTTTAGGTATCATTTACCAAAACATACAACTGTAGTGCCTTTGCGAAACGTTTTTCGTATTGTAGGTAGACATTTTCCTGATATTGTCCCCAACAAAAAAGTTCGTAGATGCACTGTTTGCTCAACAACAAAGACTCGAGCAAAGAAACGGCGCGAATTAAGGTACATGTGTCGGGAATGTGACGTGGGTCTCTGCGCAAATCCTTGCTTTGACATTTACCATACCCTGGAACAATTCTAATGACTACTTTCGTATTCATTTCATATTTAGTTTATAGTTAGTTATTGAAAATACTTTCGGTTTATATTTTTTTGAACATTAAAGAGCATTTTCTGAGTTTTTCTTTGCATTTAATGAGCAACCGTATATATACGTCGCTGGTACTGTTGGCTCTTCAAAAACCCTGGGAACGGTGGCACTGCGTCGCTGATCAGGTCTGGTAAAGAAAGGGTTAACCAACTGGTATAGATTCCCCCTACCCATTGTTCTGCGCCGAGACTAGTGGCGCCTCTCGTCTTTGGACGCATTGTAACACTCTCTCCATTTCGCCTGTACTAGGTACATTTTTAGGTGTCAGTTGTCGTTCGTTCAATGTTCATATAGGGATTTGGGTAGGGTACTCTTTATTTGAGGGGACTGAACATATTTGTCACTATTTAGGATCACTAAATCCTCTTCAAGGTAGAGATAAGTTGTATTGTGTTGTGTCGTTTTTAACACTATCCCTCACTACTCTAGTAGTGTAACATTATTAGGGAAGTGGTAGAGGTGTGGGAGCGTTGATGTGTTTCTATCTCTACAGTAAATACACAATAAAAATGCACTAGGAATAAACAAACGAATACATTATGAATGTTACGAGGAGCACTCACAAATCATGATTTTAACAATGTGTAAATGTACATATCTACTCAAAAACTATTTTAACAGACATCTTATCATAAGCTACTGCGAACTCTAGTAATTAACAGCATACCGTATCATTTATAAGTCATTATACGCGGAATAATTTACTATAACTTAGTTGGACCACTGATGTCTCGGTGTTAATGTTCTTGATTTTATTCATTTCTATTTTATTCTCAGAAGTATAATACAGATGAAATCAACTTAATAAATATTAGAATGAGGTTTTCCAACAATATAATAATGTGAATTCGTTATTGTAATAAATTAAATTAATAAAATTAACGCCTGTAAAAAATGTTTTAAAATTTAATGTAATATCTCTTAACAAGCACCGTTCATTAATTTATAAGTTTTAATAATTTAATAGTGAAGCAAAACCGTACGCCTATGGCTTCTTAGTGTCTTAACGTGTTTATTCCCACAGCATCTGTATTTTGAATATACTGTAAAGTTTTCTAGAACAATTTGTTACACATTTTGTAGTTGTATATTAAATTTAGTTTCTTTTTTTTTATTTTTAGGAATTTCAAATAAAGGGTAAGAGGAAAAAGCACGAGCAATTGCACTGGATTCATTATTCGATTGTTACGAAGTCCAAGAAGGGAGATGAAACTACCACAAACTTTGACCTATTGGGAAATCGATATCCAGCGCTTTTATTTTCAAGAGTGAAAAGTTTTACGGAGAGTTCAGAAAATCCGTTAATATAGACAAATAAAGAAGTATTTTGAATATGGTGAATATTTTAATAAAAGGGAATGTTGCTTTTTAATTTATTTTTTAAGGAATTGTAAATAAAATATGAGATGTTTTGGTGTAGTTTTAATTCTTTATACATTTAGGAGATTGGCTTGAAAACAAGAGTTCCTGTATAGCTGAAGTTTTTTACGTTTTTTAGACATTGGGGTATAACATGTAAGTTTATCTCCAAAAAAAAATACATTAATCGCTACACATGCCGATAATACAGTTATCATGGCTTTATATATTATAGCAACTGAAGCATCTCAGGAGTTACAAAACCATCTACTTAAACATAAAAGTTGGCTTAAACTGGTATTTATTTATTTATTGTACGGTGTATATGAATAATTTAATTACAAATGATGAAATATAACATTATAAACACAAATATACAAAAATTAATATACATCAAAACGTATAAAATATGTTGAATATATAAAATTATGCTGCAGAGACAGGAACGAGTGTAGAGCTCCCGCATACTATCTATTTGTCTATAAGATTTAGATGCGTCTAAAATTCGCATTTTAAACGTCTATAATATAAAAACTTAGACTCAAACAACTATTTGAGCTTTTAATAAAACAGAACAGACTTTCCATTTAGCTTTATAAAAAATATTAGTAGGATCTCGAGTTAACCATTGTCTAAGTCAGTATCATTAATTTAACCAAGACTCCCGAAATGTTTTTGCTGTAGTGTTGAGGCAAATTTTCTTTTTCAGCGGCGTATTTTCATCATCTGGTGGTTCACTCGTATGTTAAAAAATTAGACGCGAGATCTTCTATCAACTATAATTTTATTATCTTTAGTTGAATTTTAACCATTCAATCTTAAGTTGAATAAGATGGGTAGGTCACGTGGTACGATCAGGAGGATGACAAAGTGTTAAAGACAGTGTTTTTTAAAGACCAGATAGTAGAAGATCAGTAGGCCGACCGAGAAAAACATGGAAGGATGATGTTGAAGCCGATTTATCTAGAATTGGGGTACAACAATGGAAAATACAGCCAGTGAAGAAGAAGAAGAACCTAAAGGCCGTATAACACTATGCATTTTCTTGTATCATTTCTATACCGTTTCTGATATAGAAAGATATTTATGTTTTCTTGTATCGTTTTCTTGCACGTACATTTTTGCCCTGTATGACACTATGCAAAAGTTCTTTTACTACAAATTGTATGTGATTTGGCACATGATTTGTCGAAATTTTGACACTTATAAAAATGGAACTGCAGTACCTGAGGACCCCAAGCCATATTCGACTGATTATTTTTTTAAAATACTGTGGTTCAACAATAAAAGCAATAAAATGCCCCAATATTAAAACTAAATTGGAAAAACACAATTTTTGAAGATATTCAACATGCTGTAATGGAAGACAGCAATAATAAATAATTTGGTTGTAATAATTTATTTGTTACTTTTTTTAAATTATGTGTTTGAATGGTATGCTCTTAAAATTCTACTCTCTTATTTGGAGATCTAAAATAATCTTTATACTCATCACGAATTTTTAGAGCGGTTATGTAACTATTGTTTTTAGTAAAACCAAAGAATATAGACGCTTCTAGCATATTCTTTGGTAAAACATCTCCTACTTTCAGTAGTTCCATCGAGCAACAAGACAAAAGAGGGAATGTAAAGGTAGTGGGGACAAAAATATTGTTAAACAGAAAGTGAAAGTACCATCTTGAGAGGTCACATTAAACAAGGAAAGAGAGTCTCTTGTCTTGTTTAAGAAATCAAATTTAGTTAGGTTATGTTATTGTTTGTCCCATACTATTTTATAGCTACTGTTAATAAGTGTCGGAAAAATTAAATTTGGCGCATTCACATTTCCGGATATGTCCGCCAACAGAAGCCACTTTTTTGGTCTCCTTTTCATAATGATTAGATTCCCTCTTTTGTCTTTTTGCTTGATGAGTAGTTCCGATGCTATTTGATCCAATCCCTGTGATTTATTGTTTTTAAATTTGGCTACTGATGTTCTAATTTCTAATCTTGGTTATTGTTGGTGTGCAGTTTTCTCTGGTGTCTCTGGTGGCTTGGTCTAATTGTATATCAAAGTTCTCCTCCAGCCGCCAATATGATAGAAGTTTTACGTTGCAGCGGACACAAACTCTTGTATCGTTTCTGATATAAGAAACTATACGCTTGTATGACACTATTCATTTTTTTGTTATACCAGAATCGATATAAGATCAGAAACGATATAAGAAATGATACAAGAAAATGCATAGTGTCATACGGCCTTTAAGTTGTTGTCTCAGGCGACACCACTCCCTTCTTAATATATGTAGTCTACCGTTACAGCAGTAGGAGGAACTTACGACTTATGATTCTCAGCGGTGGCAACGTGCTGGCCAGTGTTTGATTTCTTAAAAAATTTCGTGCCGGGGTCATATATGGGGCCATTTTACGCTTTGTGTGACAAACATCATATTTTACATAAATGGCTTCAAGTAGCAAAAAGCTGACTCAAACATAAAAATAAGCATTAGTACGGCGATATGAAGCAGAAGAAACATACAGAAGGATTAATATGCAGTAGTATAAAAGGAAGTATAGGAAGATATAAAAATCATGAAGTAAAGATTAGAAAATAAAATTTTGGAATCGAAAATCGTAGAAATATACTCAGTGACATTACAGAGCGTTACACCCAGAAGGAATAATTTCTTGAACTTAATTTTTTGGCAACATGGTAGATTTAAATTAAGAATAAAACGATAACGTCAAGAATTTTATCAACAAGTAATAAAAAAAATAAATAAAAATGTGTTAGGCGCCCCCGCGCCCCGTAGCTAAATACACTCCAATATACATCCAGGCATTGACAAAATGAGATGATCGATGTCTTCTTGTGAAACCTCGTTCCAAGCAACTTGAATTTCGTGTATTAACTGTGTCAGAGTCTGTGGAGGATGGTGCAAAGTGGACAGTATCATTCCCATCATATCCCAAACATGTTCGATAGGATTTAAATCCGTAGGACGGGGCGGCTACGGCGAAACATTAACGCCAGCTTCTTGGAGAAAGTCTATTGGGACCGTGCAAGTTCGGAAGAGCGACACCTGGTGTCGTAAATCAACAAAATTTACTGCGCTTTCATGTTAGATCGAGGTTACCGGATAACTGTCAAGGACGTAGCCCCAAAAAAGAATAAGAAAAAAAAGTAAGATTGATACGTCGGTATGTTATTAAAAGGTAAATGTTGTATGTAGTGTAAATACAAATAAATATATTATTAAATTACAGCATTACTGTTAATATGGATGCAATAATAAAAACTGGATTTGAGAAAGTAAATCACCAAATAACTTTTCAACAATTTTTTGTTGTATTTTTACAATTTATACCTAAATTTACTAAATCCCATTTTCTTCAGTGACAGAAGGTGTAAATAAACAAACGAATATGAAATATGACAATTTGCCAATTGACAATATGAATTTATGAAATATATGAAATATGCAGTAAAAAATGCAAGATTTCTCCGCTACTCGCGCACGATCGTTTCTCGTATCACATCCAAGTACTTGCACGTCGCCAATAGTTTGACGGGAAATATAGGGACACGCGTTGTCTTGCTGAAAAAGAACGTCTCGACGGCCGTCAAGATAAGGCAGTAAAGTGGTTTGTCAGTTGTCATCAACATGTCGTATAGTGTACGCATACTAACAGGTCTATCTACTAGTCCAAACTCCAAACCATTGGTCAGCAATTTGACGCGTAGTAGCAAAACGGTCTTGCAGAGCCAGTAATTTAAAGCACCTATATTGACGCTCTGCGGCACGCCTAGTTGACCAGTTGGTCTTATTCGTGTTCCTCTACCGTTTGTCCACACACGATAGACACACATAACTGTCATTATCGTACAATTAACACGACGGCCAATTTCGCGATATGACAAACCCATATCTCTATACGCAATAATTCTACCCCTGTCTTCGAGCTCGAGACATTTTCTTACACTGAATGCAATTAAACTGAGGAATAATAACTAAAAATTTCTATACGAACCAGTTTTCATAAATCGGTCACTTCACAAAAAAAATTAAAGATAAAACTTTATTTTTACAAAAAGTAGAAAAGATAAAACATTGGTATTGTTATCATAGCATGTTTTAAATATAGTCTTTCGGTTGCCAAAAAATGAAGTTCAAGAAATCTGTGTGTAAAACTTCTAATGTCACTGAGGGGTAGAATATTGAAGACATTCAAATTAGTAGCCTACTCCGTTTTAATAATATATAGATTAAAATATGAGTATATAATGCAAACATAATCCCGACGATTACTAGCATTGATGATAAAGGATTGTCATAAAAATGGGAAAACGTGGATGAGCAATTCGAGATTCAGTTTTTTTTAGTCAGAACTATTTAAATAACATTAAAAATTGTCAATCATAATGAAGGTCGAAAATTTAATCAAAACTTTGTTTATATATTGGAGCTAAAAATAAACAAACAATAAAATATTTGCTTAATACATATATTAAACATTTTTCATATCAACATTTTTGTAATAAGGAATATAACATACAGGGGATAGTTCATAAATTTTTATTGGTATGTAAGCGAGCCATGGAGAAGGCAAAAAAAAAAGAAAAATACAACAAATAAACGACTATAACAACAAAAAACAGACCAGGAAATTTTGCAAAGAGACCAAACGATCAACTCAAAGATTTATTTCAAAAACTACAATTTGTAAAGACAAAAACGAGGCAATCATCAGTAAAATGTCAGAAATTTTCAAAATGTGGAAAGAATATTTTCAAGAGCTTCCAGGGTTAGAAAAATGACAAGGAAACAAAGTAATGCACTAGGCAGAATCTAACAAAGCAAGTGAATAGATCATAATAAAGATTAACAAAGTATTTTTAACAAGCACTATTCTTAGCGGTAATAAGTGCTTTTGTACTAACAAAAACTTTTCAAAAGCAAATTACTGAATCGAGAGTGTAAGCCAAGAATCTACAAAATAAATATTGGGCAAGTGGTATCTCCAAGCACTGATGAAAATACCGTTGGGAATCTTCTTCTTCTTCGTCTTGATTACGCGATTCTTCCTGGATTCATTCTAGCGACATGATCCAGACGACATATACATAGAGGTTCTAACAATGTTGAGTGAAGACAATTTAGACTAGACGCCTTGGTAGATCTTTTTAATGACATTTATGGGTCCGGCCAAATACCTCAGGACTGGCTTCAATCAACCTTTATACCAATCCCAAAAAAGCCAAACGCTAATAGTGGCGACCAATTCCGAATGATCAGGTTATTGAGCCAGGTCCTAAAACTCTTCTTAAAGATAATTCACACAAGAATATACAACAGATGTGAAAGAGACATTAGCCCCACACAGTTCGGTTTCAGACAAGGATTTGGCACAAGGGAAGCACTTTATAGCTTAACTGTCCTACTTCAGAAATGCAGAGATCAGCAAAACGATATCTTCCTATGCTTTATAGATTACCAGAAAGCGTTCGATTGTGTTAATCATTCAGCATTAGTAAGATTGCTCCAGGAACGATGGATAGATGAGAATGACCTTAAAATTATAAAGAACCTTTATATGAATCAAGTGACATCTGTGAGAGTAGGACTGGAATCTACATCATATTTCTCAATCGAAAAAGGTGTACGACAGGGTTGTGTTCTGTTACCCCTCCTTTTCAATCTTTACTCTAAAATGATTTTCGATAGAGCCGTAAGTGACACTGAAGATGGAATCAAAATCAACGGACAGACTATTAGTAATCTTCGCTGTGCTAATGATACAGCCATAATAGCTGATAGCCAAGAAGCGCTACAACGACTAATAGATAAAACAAACACCGAAGGAGAACGACTGGGCTTGAAGATTAATATAGATAAGACGAAGGCAATGGTGGTTAGTAGAACACGAAATATACAATTAAATATAAGAGTAAACAACAAGAACATCCAAAAGGTCCCAAAGTTCAGATATCTCGGTAGTTGGATAACTGAAGATCTAGATCCAGACATAGAGATACGTAGCAGGATTGAACAAGCCAGAACAGCATTTACCAATATGAGAACCTTGCTAAGCAACAGCAGCCTCAACTTAAAGCTTTGATATCGAATAGGTAAAGAAATAATGAATAAGACTTACTCACAATCAATTTAATTTAACTATCAGATGACCGGTTTCGCTTTCTACAATATGCAAAGCATCCTCAGTCTCGATACAAAGTTAAACAAATGCTGAAATAATAAAAACCCATATTAGGGTGTTGTCTAATAACGATAAACAAAGTAGATGTTGTAAATTACAATAATTATGCCAATATTACATGTCTGTGGTTTTATTTAAATGAGTAAGTTGAATAAAAAGTATAAAAGTTTTAAAAGTTTAAACAGACAAGGTAAGGCCCACAAATTGTTATAAAATAGTCTCTTCGATTGTAATAAATTAATAAATGAGCAAATAAATAAAATAAACATTACTTACATGCCGGTACTTGATGGATGGTAGAACATGGTTGAAACTACTATGTATTGTTGAATGGAGAACTCAATTCTATTATTGCAGTTGTTTGACAGTAAACGGGAAGTTCTTGAGGAGATAGATTTGATCCAATGAAGAAGAGATATGTGTGTGATTGTTACACAATGTTAAACAATCACACACATATCTCTTCTTCATTGGATCAAATCTATCTCCTCAAGAACTTCCCATTTACTGTCAAACAACTGCAATAATAGAATTGAGTTCTCCATTCAACAATACATAGTAGTTTCAACCATGTTCTACCATCCATCAATTAATAGAGTACCGGCATGTAAGTAATGTTTATTTTATTTATTTGCTCATTTATAAATTTATTACAATCGAAGAGACTATTCTATAACAATTTGTGGGCCTTACTTTGTCTGTTTAAACTTTTAAAACTTTTATACTTTTTATTCAACTTACTCATTTAAATAAAACCATAGACATGTAATATTGGCATAATTATTGTATTTTACAACATCTACTTTGTTTATCGTTATTAGGCAACACCCTAATATGGGTTTTTATTATTTCAGCATTTGTTTAACTTTGTATCGAGACCTGAGGATGCTTTGCATATTGTAGAAAGCGAAACCGGTCATCTGATAGTTAAATTAAATTGATTGTGAGTAAGTCTTATTTGTTATTTCTTTACCTATTTGAAATGGACTCACACAAGCAACACATTCATGCTTCGATATCGCTTTGTAAAATGTTACATTTAGGTACTCCATTCTGCTATATGGTGTAGAAACCTGGACCATAAAGGCCAATGTGATGAACCGATTGGAGGCCTTTGAAATGTGGGTATTTAGAAGACTACTTAAAATTCCCTGGACAGATCACACAACAAATGTCGAAGTATTAAATCGAATGGGCAGAGAACGAGAATTGCTACCAATAATAAAAAGAAGAAAAACTGCTTATCTGGGTCATATATTTCGAAATTCCAAGTACCAGTTCTTAAAGCTTATTATGGAAGGGTAGATAGAAGGAAAACGAGGCATCGGAAGAAAGAAATACTCATGGCTTAAAAACATAAGGGATTGGACAAACCTCGATGCCCATGTACTTTTTAGAGCCACACAAGATCGAGAGGAGTATGCCAAAATTGTCGCCAACATCCACTAATTGGATAGGGCACTATAAGAAGAAAAATACTAGAACGAAAGAAAGAGGAGAACAGAAATCTAGAATGTAAAAAAATGTCTAGTAAGTATAAGAAGCGAATCCTGACTGCATGACATCTTACCTGACAAAACAATGAACAGAAAACGATACAAAAATGCATAGAATCTTGAGAAGACGAAAAATACTTTCATGAAAATTACGATTCCACAAAATATAGTTTTAAAACAATAATATTAAACAGTTGTGTAGTTTTATTTTTGCTACGAATTAATAGACCACTCCTCGTATTGAAATTTTCAACGATCTATGGGCCACAGTTTGAATACAAACACATTAAGCCATTTTGGTGTCTAAGTTTATTTTTTTAGAGTGTATAAAAAGACCAACCCAGATTTCATGCTCTGAATGCGCCTCCTCAATCATTTTAATTGCGAGTATATATCTTTACAGCGACTGTACGTGAATCATCCTGTATTGAACTAAAGATAAACAGATCAAATGATGCAAATGTTTATAAACGAACTATTGAACTGTAGTATGGGACTGCTCGGTATTTTTAATTTATTCCTTTATTGTTTAATAAGTGAGGAATAACATTAAGTTACCTGTCGATATGAACGGCGTGTGTGCGATGGACACACGCCGTTCAGAGGACAAAAAATAGGTCCGAAAAATTCGTTTTCGTAGCGCGACCAAGAATAGAAACATTCTGTGTTAGCGTTTATTCCAAGATATTTTTAGTTTAGCAGTTTTAAGCGAGTGGGTCCGGCGCTTTACTGCGAATATGTGATGTTAGTGTTCAGGTGGTGCGTGTTGTGAAAAACAAAGTTCTCGTAACGATTCCTCCGGTGTATTTCGTGATTATGATAAACGCCAATGTACAGCTCTGGTTACTCTTATAATCGCTACCGTCCGAATAGGGACATTTCGCGCGAAACGGTCCGTCGACCAGAGGATTTGAGCTGGAGCTACGGGGGGTCTTCATGGGTGTACCGACCCTCGGGCATGCCTATAAAATCCACCAGTAGCACCAAACCTTTCGATTCCTATTCATCCACCAACTCCAACAATGTCAATACCACATCTCAAAGACCGAGATATACTCGCTCTTCAACCACCAGCAATGTCGCGCAGTTGCTTAGCGATTCGTGTTCGAGCTTGCTGCAGAAACTCACCACTAGAGTCCGGGGGCTTTCCACTACTGTAGAAAGACAACTTTCATCTTCGGATACTGTTCCTTTAACATCAAGTACTTCATCAAAATCCTCAAATTCCGGCTTCCTTCCTTTAACAACCAGTAAAAGTACTACTGTTGTACCTAATTTCGGACATACTATATCAAGATTAGAAGATAAATATTCCTCAGTTTTAGATAAAATATACAAAAAACAGAACAAGGATCCGGAAAAAACTCCTGTGCCTCCTGGAAGGGCTTTGGCCAAGAGTTCTACAGCTGTCAATATCTTTTATCCAGAAAAATCGATTTATAATAACATCAACAACGATCATACAGTCTACAGAAGGGAAAAGACCCCCTATAAAGAGAGTAGGAAGTCGTTGCACAATACGAGGCACTATCCAGAGCCTCAGTACGTGTATTTAGATAAGGATTCAGCTTATAGAGTTCGACATAAGTCAAATCATTCCGAGCTACGCCCCAGAAGATCTTTGAAACCTAACCATAGGAATGAATTGAGTGAGGTAAAAGTTAAAGCGTCGAAATATTACTCATTTATTTTGTTTTCGTCCAATTTTATTTTAAAAATAGAATACTTTTCATGTAATTATATTTGAAAATATGTTGAATACCAAGATACTACTACCATAAACACATTATGTTACAATGTTACCTCAACATTTAAAGAACTGATTTATTATAAACAACTTTTCTTCATAATTACTACAAGCTGAAATTACATAATTATCATTTATTAGTTTTCTGATAACGCTCTTATTTATCTTTCAAAATTAGCTGCTTCTTCCGCTTATCTTGCAGCCCATATTTCCATTGTTTATATAGGTACCTTTTATGTTTTAAGAAAAGACTTTCTGTTTCTACTTTTTCTTTGTTTTTATAGTTTTTCGTCGATTTTTATTCATTTTTTAGGTTTTTTGTGTCCCTGCTGCACAAAAACCTTTTTGCTCCGGTCCATCTTTTTGATTCATTACTGAAGAATTTTTTTGAACAGCTTTTTATTAAGAGTAGTCTATTCTTGGAATAATAATCAATTTCGTTCATTATCATATTCGATTTCTGCTGATTCTTTTAATATATACTTTTTTCTTCTCCTTATAGTTCTGAATTTGTTTGATTGAGGTACCTTGGTAGTTATCATATTCTTCTTCTGATTACGTCGTTTTCTAACGAAGCTTGGCAATCACTTCTAGTTCTTTAAACGCTTCCCTATCTTTTGCAACGCTAATTATCTATTCAACTCTGAGATTAATCCCATCTCTGATCTTCCTCAGCCAAGATTTCTTCTTTATTCCCAAGCCTTTTCTTGCACAGACAACAAGTTTTCTTATTTTAAGTGTATTCATAAGCTTTCTGAAATGTACAATTCGCCTTAACACTTCTTCGTTTGATACTTTTGGAGGTCAAGGAATTTTAAGCATGCGCTTATATAGCCATATTTCGAATGCCTCCAATTCTTTTACGGATTGGGCTTGCAGAGTCTTACCCCATAGTAGCAGTTGCGACCAAACATAACATTGGACGAACCTCAATCTGATATCCATACTCAATTTTTTATTTGTAAACATTGAATTGTATTTTATAAATATAAATCCTTTCCGAGCTATTTCAATTCTGACCTTTATTTCCTCATCTTGATCTAATGGTGAGTTTATAATTGCTCCGAGGTATATATGCTTGTCGACCCTCTCTAACGTTTTATCCTCCAATGTCAGGTGTACGTTGTCAACAGGAGATCACCATGTATTTGGTTTTATCTATATTCGTTGTTAGTCCCATCTTTTTGCTTTCTCTACTAACGATTCTACCAGAATTTGTAAATCGTCTATATTTTCTACCATGATTGCGGTATTGTCTGAAAATCTTATGTTATTATGATGCTCCCTCCAATCTTTACACCTTTAATTCTTTCCGATAGTGCCTCCTGTAGTAATATTTGAGAGTACACATTAAATAATTGTGGAAATAGCACACATCCCTGTATAACTCCTCTTTGAATTTCTACTTAGTTTGTCTCACTATCTTCTACCCGTATGACAGCTGCTTCATTGTAGTATAGATTTTTGATTAAATTAATAACCTTTGGATCTAGGTGTATGTGGTTCAATGCATGTATGAGTTTATCATGTTGAATTTCGTCAAACGCTTTTTGAAAATCTATATAACATATGAATACTTTCTTATTATATTCTCTGCATTTTTGTAATAGTACCGTCATTGCACACAATGCCTCTCTTGTTCCCATTTCAAGTCTATATCCAAATTGTGTGTTGTTTAATTATTGCTCTTCACAATTTTTATATATACGCTAATGATTAACTTTGAGTAGTATTTTTAAAGGATGGCTCATGAGACTAATTAATCGGTATTCAGGGCAAGATTTAGGAATATTTTCCTTGGGTAAGGGTTAAAAGATGGATTTTAACCATTCATCAGTAATTTGACCGCCGTGGTATATCCTTTTATAAAATAATTTAGTTCGACACTATATTTTCATCATTCAGGATTTTTAATATTTCTAATGGAATTTCATCAGTACCTGGCGCTTTACCTTTACACTTTTTGAGTGTTTATTGTCTTTTTCACCTCTAAGTTTTCTTGTTTTTCTTCTTCTGATAATTGGACATCAACATTGGAGTTTCTTATGACTTGCAGTATTCTATTCCGTATATTACCCGTAATTTATTTCAGTTTCTTATGTAGGTTATGTGTTTTTTAAGCTCTTTTCTCTATTCGGATTGCCTAGTATAGGCCTCTCCTAATTCTCGCCATTCATCTCTATTGTTTGTAAGACGTTTCCACATTGGTCCTGCAGTTCTTTTAATATCGTCGCTCCAGCACATTTGCGGTCTTCCTCGTGGTCTTTTGGCTTCATATGACCGCCAATTCCCGATTTCTTTATTCCATCGGCCATCCTTAAGACATTCGTTATGTTCAGCCCATTTCCATTTCAGTTTAGCTGCCTGTTCAACTGCATCTTTTACTTTTGTTCTATTACGAATGTCTTCTTTTATTTTATGGGCTTTAAGTGAGATACTCAGCATCTGTCGTTGGATAGCTCTCTGAGTTTTTCTGATCTTCTCCATGTTTATTTTAGTGAATGTCCAGGTTTGAGCTCCATATGCAAGTACAGGTAGGATACAGGAATTAAACACTTTGTTTCGTAGTCTTTGAGGTATATTTTTATTTTTTAAGTACGTATGAGAGTCTTCTAAATGCTGCCCATCCCATTTTTACACGTCTGATCGGTAGATATGGCATTAGTTTAGTTTTGCTGAAATTCATTGTCTGTCCATTTTTAGGGATTCTGTGTGTAGCTTCTCAATCATCGTATTCAGTGCATTCCATGTGTCGGCTATTAGTACTACATCATCTGCGTATCTAAGATGGTTCAAGTATCTTTCGTTAATAGGGATTCCCTTATTTCCCCAGTCTATTGACTTAGAGTCAATCCGGTCGTTAACTAATGCTTCTTCTATTGCCCACAGTTCTACGCTATCAAAAGCTTTTTCATAATCCATAAAAGTCAGATATATTGGGAGATTGTATTCGTTAGTCTTTTCTATTAGAATTTTCAAAGTATTTAGATAGACGGTCACATGTGCTGTACCCGTTTCTAAATCCGGCTTGTTCTACTGGTTGATATCCGTTAAATTTAATTGTTAACCTATTTGTAATTGTAAAGGTTTTGTAAAGTTGTGAAAGAAGTGAAATTGGTCGACAATTTTTCAGCTCTGTGGTGTCTCCCTTTTTGTGTATTAGTATTTTTTTAGCAGTATTCCATTGTTCGGGTATGTTGTCTTCGAATAGACGTTTATTAAATAGTATTTTTAGATATGTGATGGCTTCTTCTCCGCCTTCCTTCAGCATTTCTGCTAGGATTCCATCGCTTCCAGGAGGTTTATTCCTTTTGATTTCTTTTATTGCTCTTTCTAGTTTTGCTAAGTTCTGCTTTGAGGAGTTAGGGGATCGTTTCTGGAACGATACAGATCGGCGTATAACTCTTCAATTGAGTATTATGTTTTTCTTTCCTAGTTTCGGTTTGGTGCATTTTTCTCTATGACTTGTTCTATACGGTCTTCTTGATGTTCTTTAATGTCCTCTTTTATCTGTTTTCTTATTACTCGAATAAGTTCCTTACATTCCACAGTGTCTCTTTTGTTTTGTCTCAGAAAATATTTTCTTTGTTTCAGCATGTTTTGTGATTCTACACTTATTTTGGATTTTATTGGATAAATAGTTCTTTTGTTATGAATAATCGAAAGTATCTTTTGTTAATCGAAAGTATCTTCTAAGGAATTTCATCTTTCTTGCAACTATATGACTGTTATTATTTACTATCCAATTATTAATGTTTAGTATATATGTGTTTGTTGTCATGCTTAGATAATTATTCTACCTGATGAGTTTAAGTTTTATAATTGCTCTCTTTTTTTCCTAGTCTCTGTTTAATATTTTCTTTAGTTAATTATTTTTTCGATATTATAAACCGCAAGTATATGCATTTAACTTTCCTTTTATTATTGTTTTTGTTTATTATTATATTCTGTTTACATCAAGTTTATAAATAAATATAGATAACAATAAATGAGTAGTTTTTCCACACTTTCTCAGATAAACGACAGAAAAACTGCATCGAGTCTGAAACTATGCCCCGTGGAAATCAAATACCATGACCAACCAGCTCAGGTTCACTCCAACTTCGAGAAAACCCTCAGTCCCCCGGCGATACGGGCCAACGATAAGGAGCTTACTACGATCCCTAGTGCTCCAGACACCGAGACACAACGTGAAGCGAAAAGGGTAGAGATCCAGAATTTGATAGCAAAGTATTCGGCATTGGATGAGGCGTATAAGTTGAATGACAGTGCTTACAGTTCTGCGGCTAGTACATCCAGTTCCAGTTCCAAGCCCAGCGTTCTGGCTAGTGTTACGCAGAAGTACTACCCCAACCTGGCGCCTGCGGTAAGTAATTGCTACAATACTAATAAATAATAGATTGTTGAATGCATTAGATGGCAAGCAGTACATAAAATATAGCTTTGTACATTAAATAGGTGTCGACCTATTTTTTCAATTTCTCTCTATTTTGAACAATTGCTTACCCCAATTGTTCAATGGAAAGAAGTTTGATTAGGGTATTGGTAATTTCGTCACAATGACAATAGAGTATATTTAAAGTTTTTGTTAGTTTAAATACTAGTGATATCTGTGTCAGAAATTAAAAAGATTGACTGAATAGTGAATACATACTTAAACTATTTGCAGACTACAGAAATAAACTTTCACAGATACAGAGTGAAACAGGACCAGGTATATTAAATAAAAAACTATAAAATTCTGTAAAAATGAAAAAAATAAAAAACCAAGTGGATTCTACGAAATCTTTACATAAAGGAAATTCATTAAGGAAAGTCTATAACAATGGTATTAATCTTCTTTAACAGTCTATAACCCTAGTATGTATTATACCTAAAGAATGGTCCACATCTATCACCATTCCTAAAAAAGTTATAGAACTGATGGCCTCTCTTCATAATCGCCGATTGCAGACAAGTAAGCGTGAGAACGATTGTGTAGAGGGCATACTCGACTATACTTGTCCAACATTGTCTATGATTGCCTACAACCTATGAGTTATCGGTTTTTCGGAGACGCATCAAAATGAATCACTTTATGCTTGTGGTTCGAAATGCTATTACGGACGATTGTGTTGACGCTAATGCTTACACCACACTATCGTGTGATCGTCTATAATCGGCACAATCATCCTGCAAGCGTCCACAAAATCGTCCGTAATCGTATATCGAACCACAAGCATCATGCAAGATTCCCTTTGATGCATCTCCGAAAAACCGACAATTCACGGGTTGTAGACGGTCATGACAATGATGAGCAAGATAGCCGAGTATGTTGTTTACAGTCATACTTGTCTATAATCACTGATTATGAAGGGGGCTAGTTCACATTACCTCCCCGTGAGATGATCAAGCACTCAAATTGCTCGTGCAGGATGTACAATGTAGCGTGAACTACTTGTCATGTTAGCCAACGTTTTCCTCAGATATATGGACAGGATATTGAATTCGCCCGACAGCCCAAAATTCGCACCAAACAATGCCGTTTGGTGCGAGCATTTTCGTTTATAGCGTTTTCTGGAGTGTTCAGTTTGTGTAGATTCGCGCTTGATTCTTCAACAATAGTCAGCCATCATATGTACGTCCCATCTACCTTGACACCGTGCTTTTATGACCTTCAAATCTTGATGGAAACGCTCACCCTGCTCATCACTCACCGCACCAAGATTGTCCGGAAAATTAGCAAGGTGGCTATGTAAAAAATGCACTTTAATGCTCATGTTGCAACCTAGCTTTTGGAAGCTAGGTTGACAAAGAGTTGCTGGACAATGTCGGCGTAATTCAATGCTCGTGTATTTCCAAGAAAGTTTTTAACAATGCTTTTGAATGCCAACCACGCATTCTTTTCGATTTCTGACATTGTTACCACGAAATGTTCATCCGCAAGAAGTTGCCGAATCTGTGGACCATCAAAAACACCGGCCTTTATCTTTTCAAATTTCGCAGGCAAGAAATTTCGACATGAGATACTTGAAACAGTCTCCTTCAGTTGGCAAAGCTTTAACAAATTGCTTTCTAAGACCTAATTTCATATGCAGAGGTGGAAATATAATATTCTATCTGTCGACAAGTGGCTGATGTACAATGTTTGCATCACCAGGTCTCAGATCCGGTCTTAGCGGTCAATTCGACTGCACTCAATGTTGCACAAACCTCTGCTGTCCCCCATATACAAAAAACAGGGATACTCCACGTTCTTGACCAATTAGGAAGCAAGGTCCAGGACCAAGGTCCTAGATCTTCTTCTTCTTCATCTAGCCACTCACGTCCACATCTGAACATAAGCCTCTTCAAGTCTTCCTTTCGATTGTTTTTTATTGTACGCTACTTGTAGCCAATTTTTCCGGCAGTCCTTTTTAGATCATCTGTCCATCTCATAGGTCTGCCTCTGGGTCTTTTGTGTTGGTATGGTCTCCAGGTTAAAATTGATCTGTGCCATTTGTTTAGATCGCTCCTAGCTACATGTCCAGCGTATTCCCATTTCAACTTTAATGATTTTTGCACCACATCGGTGACTTTGGTTTTCTGTCTTATCCATGTGTTTGTTTTCTTGTCCTTAAGTGATATACCTAGCATTGCTCTTTCCATCGCGTGTTGAGTGACTCTAAGTATATTCATATTCTTTTATGTGATTGTCCATGTTTGTGCCGCATAAGTTAATATCGGAATAATGCATGCATAAAAAACTTTAGATCTAAGATGTAATTGAATTTGTTGATTTCTGAGTATATAGTTCAGTTTACCGAATGCTGCCCAAGCTAACTTTCTTCTTCTTTTTATTTCTTCAGTCTGAATTTCCCTATTTAGGATTATTTTTTGTCCCAAGTATATATATATTCTTCAAATTTTTCTATAACTTTATCGTTTATTATTGTCACGGTGTCTTCGGAGTGCATGACTTTTGTTTTGTTTAAATTCATTTTCAGTCTTATTTTAGAAGATTCGGTATGTAGTTCTACAAGCATGGTTTGCATTTCTTGTAGGTCAGTAGCTATCAGGATTATGTCATCTGCAAATCGTAGATTACTGAGGTAGCGCCCATTGATGTTTATTCCCTTATATTTCCAATTTAGGTTTTTAAAAACGTCCTCCAAAACTAAGGTGAACAGTTTGGGTGATAAAGTATCTCCCTGTTTGACTCCCCTGTTTAATTGTACAGGGTTCGTGTGTTCATTTTCATTTAGGTAGTATGTAGCTGTAGCTTGGTTCATAGTTTCTTTTATTAATTTAATATATCTGCTGTCTATTCTACAATTTTGCATTGCGTTTATTACGGCCGTGTGTTCTATGGTATCGAAAGCTTTTTCGTAGTCTACAAATGCTAGGAAAACTGGAAACTTGTATTCGTTACATTTTTCTATTATTATTTTTGTGGTTAACAGGTGATCGGAAGTTGAATAGCCTTTTCTAACACCTGCCTGTTCATATCCTAGATAAGGAAAGATATTTTAGACCAAATACAAGGAAATATATCAACAGTTAATTATTACCTAAATTTGGTCAACAAAATATATAAACAAATATTAAATATATTAGGTGGACCTCGTCCACCTACTTACCTACGAGACTTAATCAGCCTGATCTTTCTCCTGGTTGAAGGTATAATTAAAGGTAAAAAGCAAATTTTCAGAGTTATTTTATCAGGAAACTTATTAGGAGTCGATAAACAAAATTCATTAATAAAGCAAAACAATATATTTAACACCACAATGATATAGGCAGCTGAATGTACACACAAGTAATATAAAATGCACTATCAATTGATCAATGGTTGTATCCATATAGAAATAAAAAGTATTATAATTAAGAAATACCTTTACACATACAATATAGCAAAATCCTGCACAAATTAAATTATCAGCGAAGAGAGCCTGATGGTAAATAAAAAAAATTCAACCAAAGTTGATTAAATTAATGTTCTCTTTGCTGTTTAATGGGCTTATCTCGAGATAACGGGTACAGTAAATAAAAAAATGAATAACAAATAACACAAAGTTAATTAAAGTTAAATTAAAAAAATACAAAAAGATTACAGGAATAAAAATTAAACCAACCTGCACTTAGTTAAGTTAAATATCTGTTCGCACTGTTATTTAATGATTAACTGAAAATGAAATGTTCGTAATAATTATTTATTAAAAGTTCTTGATAGATGATTGAAGGTTCAGATGAAAATATTAAATGTTCTCTTAATTCAATTGTTAAATCGGTAGTTAACTATAACTACAGGTGAAGAAATGGTTGAACTTAGATTCGCCCAGATAATTAAAGATTCTATGATAATATACCATATTATTCGCTTAGATAATTGAAGGTAATTGATTACGATAACTTACAGTAATTCTCGATGACTCCTACACTACAATGATTCTACATACTGTACTTGTATCAAGAACTAAAGTTATTTAAATTAAAGGTACTTTATACCAATATTTAATCTAATATGGTATTAGATTAAGAAACTCAAATATATGAGTGTATACACACTTAAAGAAAAAATCACAGAGAAGGTAACACAGAGACGGTAATATAAGCGAGCGTCTGTACTCAAAAATCACAGAGAAGGTAACACAGAGACGGTAATATAAGCGAGCGTCTGTACTCAAAGACGACCCTGCCAGAAGTCCTTACTCAAACACAGCCCGGCCAGAACTCAAGTTCTTCCGCCAAAATTTACCAAACTACCCCAAAAGTAAGGTGAGATATCTCCCACTCAAAAACAACAGGCCAGACTGTATTCATTTCTAGGTAGACAGAAAGGTTCTGACGACATCGAAAATAATGGGATCCTTCTAGCTAGAACGTGATGAAATATAAAATCCTTTGAATTAGGTTTTTACAGAAAAATACCATAAAAATCCACGACTTTGCCTGCCAAAGCATCAAACAGAAACCCGCCTTAAACCGGAAAAAGATTAGCTATGGATTAACTTAACCGGCCTCTTTTAATAAGTCGATTCTTCCGCACTGAGAACTTCGTAATAAAATTTTCTAATGATAAACAAAACCACCCGCGTATATATTTGCAAAAAACTGCCTTGGACGTCTCAGCAACAGGGGTAAAGGGATTAAAAATTGTTTAGTATTTTAATTATAAAAAAAATGTTACAATATCACATGAAAATATACAACTTTAATACCTATTCAACTTTTTTCTTTTTTTCAACTTCTATAACAAAATTTATTTTATTTCGTTTAAAATTGATAACAAATTCGAAGTATTAATATTTTTTTAATTATATTAAATTTTTACAAACTCCGACTATTTTTGGCGTAAAATATTACTCTGATCTTTATCGATTGTTGAGCACTGTAGTTTAGTAATTA